TCATTCGTAATTACTAAAAATATATTTAACAGGAAAATACTGATTAATGGATCTGAGTAGTTGCAAATTAATACATGTATACGAGCTCTCGGGTAATCGTGAATTTTGCGGTAGAAAAATTGATATTGTTCCGTGAAATGTCACAGGAGCATATTAAACAAATCTTCGGAGTAAACAAGTCTACATTACACCCAGGTGTAAATAGGTACCTGGTAATTGCTGGTGTAATACTGATTGGGTAAAGAAATTGATTCATTTTTATTACTATTGCATTAGTTACGATGCATGTAGCACAATTGATCCATTGTTAATTGCCAATAGAGGATTACATGAATTGTTCCATATCCCTTTCAGCGTGTTTGTTTTTCCCATAACTATTATTTTTGGTCGTCAGGTTCAGGCCGTCTTTTAGTGTTCCAATACATCACATGCCATTGTTGAATGAAGTCACCTTTCAAAACATTTCCATGCAAAACTTAGTTTGTTTGTTTTTCTCATAACTTTTCAAGGCCGCACCGCGGTGAAATTTTTATTTTTATTTGTTTATTCTCTTCTTTTTGCGTGAAAACTCTTATCAATTGTTATTCATCCCCGTGTACTTTTTCGTATTAATCCTTCTTAAGCTCACCTTAGCTTTCAATTCCCACGTCTCGGTCTCTTTGCTTCCTCTTTCTCTCTCTCTCTCTCCCCCCTCTCTCTCTCTCTCTCTCTCTCTCTCTCTCTTTAAGCGCAATAATATTGTCCCCCTTCCCCCTCTTGAGGCCCCTGATACAGACTCACAGCCGAGTACTTGACAAACGAATAACACAGGTTTAAGCTTTATATTAGATATACGTTTTATTATCCTAAAAAGCTGTTAAAGGTCAGGTCGCCTCATGGTGTTACAATACATCACATGCACTGTTCAATAAAATCACCTTGTAAAATATTTCTACATCAAAAAAAGAAAAAAGAAGGCAATTTAACCAATACTTTAACACATGCAAATACTTTTTTTTAAAGGGCGAAAAAAGGAATATGGAAATAAGAATGTCTTTATGAGCCTATTGAATGATAAAATATATGTAGTTATAATCTGCTGAGAATAAGAAGGGCTCTAAACTCATGGTGGGTACATGTACTACTAGTTAAAACCAGTTTGGCTCTCATCAGAGAATAGATGAGATACAATAGACCAGTTCACGGTTAGCACAATACTGCAATGACCCTGAATATCCACAGATCTTCAAACATGAAGAGGTCCCACTTTGTACATTTTGAAATAATCCCTCCTACAGCGATGGAGGTGCTACATAAATAGCCTTTGTTTCCCCTTTTCAAAGAATACTTCCACCTGAGTATCATGGAGTGCATAAATGAATAACGATTACATAACTTTCATGAGCACGTATCCAGTATTTTGTCTCCATGTATTTCACAATTTGTTCTGCAATGACCTTTATCTGCTCATGCTCAGACTGCAACCGTGAACTGGCTTATTCATTGCCTTCTCACTCAATAACTCGACTTTTTTTTTTACAGCAACGCTTTTCCTTTCACATTAATATATGCAATAACAAAACACATTGGCAACATCAACGGCTTTGTTTCTTTGTAAACATTCTGGCCATTTCTCAATTCACTTCCCCCTTTATAATTTTCTGATGCATTGGAACATACATAATATTTGCTATAGTGTAAGAAGTATGTCATCTATAAATTTGTTCTGGCTCTCAATAGACCCATTATGTTTGGAACAATTGCCATCCAAACTGACCGACTTTTACAACAAAGGCTTACCTCTTTCACAAAACCAATTTTATGTATTGATGAATGGTTCGGTTTCTATATGGTATATGTCCTGGCCATTTTCCTTTCCTTTCTCACTCTATAGTGTTCATCAAGGCATGAATTATGTGCCACTTGAATTGAGTAATTCGTATATAAAAGACTCCAATAAAAGAACAACATCAACTATCCCACATATTGTTTGTCATATGAAAGAGGGTCAAACGTGTTCCATTTATGAGTTCACCAGCATTCATGAGCAAGCCTATACATTATGTTACGCTCATGAAACGGTGATTAACGTAGATGCATTCACTTGGATCCATGTCATTACTATAATTATGTACGAACCTCATATTCCAAAGAATATATAAAGTATTTGTCTGTTTGAAGCCAGAAGGGTTTTAACTTATATTCTTTAGAACAGAGTTTATGCCATTTTGGCTCTGAACGGACGATTTGGATTTTCAATTTGCAATAAGCAATATCAGTCATAATATAAACAGACTCAGTTTCCTACAAGAACACTCTGATCATACTCGATATGCTGAAAAGGCAGAGTTCCTGGAAAAGTAAAATGCAACTCCCAAATCAATTCATTCTGTCAAGGCCAACCGTTGAACCGGGACTGCGGCATGCACGTTTTTATTTGCTATGAAAATGACAATAATAACATTAGAACAATATCGTTCTTGTCAGTAAAGCTCTTCGTAAATTTCAAATGCTACCAAACCAAGCAGGAAATACTTTAAAGCACACTCTTCGTAAACATCACATCTTTGTGACTCAATTATAATTTCACATACTTCATTAAACACCCATGCAAGGGGGGCCTGCAACCGTAACGCAATCATTGCTGGCAAAGAATAACACCAGTCTGCCAATCTATTCATGTTATTGTTGAGAGGTAAAAATGCTGTTGCATTATAAAATGCTTGGAAAAGAAACAATACCCTATATTTTGATATTGTCATTAAAGGGGAAGTTCACCCTGATATTAAATAAGTTTTAATAGAAGCAGAAAAATTAGAGAAACAATTCAGTGAAAGTTTGAGTAAAATCAGACAATAAATAAGAAAGTTATGAATCTTTCAAAATGATCATGAAAATAATGGAATCTTTGAGACGCATTGGCAATGCGGTCAGAAATTGTTACGTCATCCCCTTACAATTCACCACTGATCTGAATGACAGAATGTCCCAAAATCTCTATTTCTCTTCTTTTGATCAAAATGGAATTTGATGACATTTCTTGCATTCAACAAAGGATGAAATGTGAGAGGGTGACACCATATTTAGTGACCGTGTTGCCAATTTGAATCACAGATTTGAAAAATTTCATGAAAAGTTACGGAATCAAAAAATCCATAAGTTTCTCATTTGTTGTCCGATTTTTCTGATCCGATCTGTTCATCTCATTTTTCTCCTTGTATTTAAAAGGACTAATTATCAGTGTGGACTTCCCCTTAAAGGTACTATGTCCCATTTGCAGGCCAAAACAAAATTAAAAGGTGAAATTCCAACAGCATTTGAAAGATAATACTAATTTAGAACTTCTCTAAAAAGCTGGGAAGTGGGAAAATAACGACTATTAGTTGTCAAATCACCTGAGGAGCTATAGAGCCAATAAGTAATAGTCTTGAATTTCAGACCATTGTACCGAATGGTCATACGTTTAATGCTGTGCAAAGATTCAATCAGTTTAATTTTGGCCATCACAAGAAGTGGGTTATTGATGTAGACAAATGCTCATGTACCCTTTACAGCTCATTTTATGTATGTTATTACCAAAGAAGAAAAAAAGCCAGTCAGTCACTCAATAGTGTCTGACAGTGAAGTCTAGCAAGTAAACAGGTTTCCTTGCATAATTTGAATATTAGGACACTGCTAATGTTTAAATTTCACAGATAGGACATGCATGACATATTCATAATTCTTGCAAAGTTCTACAGAATTTGATGTTGGCTGCAAAAGGGACATAGTACCTTTAAGCCACATTTGAAAATCGGGTACAAATATTAAAGGGTTAGTGGGTAAAGTATCAATCCATCAATAATCTAAATCATTCATGAGGATAAAAGAAATGAAGAAGGATAATACATTAGTGCCTACATGTATAATGAAATACCTCTATTCTCGTTGGAATATTCCCTTAACTTACATGCTGGGAATCAACTTAATACAGGATATAATTCTTTTAATGCCAGGTTTGAATTTTTGGCAAGAATAATTTGAGCAAATAGATGGTAAATGATAAAGTATTTTCATAATTAGTAAATCCCTTTAATATCAAACAACACTATTTCTAGGATAACTGTATATTTTTTTTAAGGTAATTGCTGGAAATGAGATAAATATTTGATTATCTAAATTCTTGATTTGTAGCATGCACTAATAGTAGTCTATCAAGCTACTTGAGCTGCTAAGTGTGTATTCTTACCTCTAATTTGCGATGATAACAATATCAAGGTATACTACAAACATTTTTTTCCCCACTTTGAATTAGGAAATTGTGATAAGTCATTACATTGTGCAATATTAAATGACAACAAATCCTGAACTGCTATTAATCCAAGTTCGAAAACATTACGTTATTGCTTGCCACCGTCAAAAGTATGCTGTATTTCAATAGGATGTCGGTGAACTTGTACTTATGACAGTTTTATGAAACGACGTCCAAAGTACTTGCACCTTATATGTATGCTTTCATAGGGTAACAATACCTTCTAAAGACTTGAACAGCAATGACAAAAGGGGCAGCAGACAGACCACTGTTAATGTTGTCACAAAGAAATGTCAGCATATTTTATTTTGCGACAGCTTTCTAGTGATTTCAATACATGATTGATTAGAAATGGTTGAATGGTGGCCTTCAACCCAGAAATAAAGTATACAGTCAGGCGCATACGCAGGATTTTTTCAAGGGGGGGGGGGGGGGGGGGTTTAACATTTTTAAATCGGGCCAAAAATTTCGCAACAACTCAGCCAGCCGCTGAATAAGCAGGGGGGGGGGGGGGTAAGAAGACACTAAAAAAAAAAAAAAAAAAGGGGGGGGGGGGTTGCTCAAAAATAAACACATAAAAAATACTGAAGGGGGGGGGGGGTTCAACCCCCAAATCCCCCCCCCCACGTACGTGCCTGGGTACAGTGATGTGTATGTTACCAAAATGGATTGAAATACAATAGGTCATGCCGTGCTATTGTAAGATCTACAGGAAACAATAATTGATAACTTTTTTTCTTTTTCGAACACACTTGATACAAATGTGGTTCTCTTAGCATAGATTCCTCTTCAAAAGATTTGTTCACAAACCAACCGATGTGAAAGATGCATTATTATTTGTTTTTGATTGGCAACATTGCTCCCAAGTTCCTTTGATGTGGAATTCATCAATTATATAAACTGCAATTACAAAGCTGGCTTGATTTTCTGTTTTCACTGTTTCTTAAAGTTTGTAATTTCACTCATGCAAAGCTGATTGGAACACTTAATTCCCCTTTACAGAAATATGAAGGGCATGAGAGACAATTGCATCTATTTTCACTATATATTAGCACAGATATGCACCTAATACTACAAAGTTGATTGGAATAAAATGCACTACATCACTCAATGAAGTGGAAATCTATAAAGATGTTTCAAACAACTTGAAAGGTACTATTCAGCATTTTAAACGAGGAGGAAAAAACACTAAGACCAAGTGAAATTATTTCCATTTCAGAGGAATGTACTGAATTTCCACAGAAACATAGCATTCTTAAAAGTATGTAAAGAAAAGGGTACAAATAAACAATTGCTTAAATATTACCTTTAAAGGCGTTACTTTGAAATCATGGATTCAATACAGAACCCCTAATGCAGGCATGTATATAATGAATTTGAATATAAATAAGCCTTTGCACCAGTAGCTTTTTCCTGGGAGCTGTCATATCATATATTGCATTACTTCCAAAGATTTTTCCTCCACCTTTGTCAAGAAGTTCAAAAGTAAGTATAGATGTTTGCAAGTTTTGCGTCAGAGATGTGATCCTACTCTGTCTCTGGGTATTAGTCTCAGCTCAGAGCCATGTTTGAGGAAGACATTCCCTGCGCTCTGGGCTGGGTTGATTCCAATGCCATCTGAAATAAATAAGAAAGACAAGATGTTTAAATTAGCATTATTTTTTCTTCAGTCCATAACAATTTTAATTTTTTTTAAATCGATAAATAAATCAATTTTATATTCATGGATGTTTCCTCTTTGCTAACAAAGTAGTGCAACATTTCGTGCTGTAGGTCCAAACAATTGAAATTGACTCTAGTGATTAAAATGACTATTAATTCAATATTCGTCTGTAAATGATTACTGGTAGAGGAGCGTCCTTTGATCAAATCATCTGCATTTTTAAGACTTGACTGATAAAGACCAATATCTCAAGAAATTATCTGTCTGCCCTTATTGATCATAGCTGTGTCATTTCATGCATTGTTCACTCTTTTTGGATTTCTGCAAGGAGTTTTCCTTACTATTAAAAAAACCCACAAAAAACATGAACTATGAATGGGTCCCCACTACCTAACAATTATTATTCTATGCACTGGAATAATATTTATTATTAATTACTGATTAACATTAATTATGATGAATTTTGAAAGTACTCAACAAAAAATATTTCATTTAACTACATAACAATAATTTTGAATGCACTAAATCACTAATCAACATAATGTTAGCAAAGAGAAGGAAATGACTTAGTTTAATCTTATCTTACAAATAAAAAATAACCAACCATTTGTGATGATTGCACTAGTAGCAGCGGGAACTCTGAACTATATTAGGGAAAACAAAAACAAAAGGGCATAAAAGCATTACACAGCTTAACTAAACAAATGACAAACATTGATTACAAGTTTACACAATATTATATGGTGTTGAGAGAGACTTCTGTTTTTGAATAGCACAACACTTCTAGAAAAAGGAAAATCATTTGAGCTGCATTTGACTCTATTTATAGTTCTCTTTCTGGATATGACTCTTTCAAAACTTTAGTTACGGTAGTAGTTTTAAAAAATTCTTACATTTTTCTGCTAAAGATATTGATTGCTTTGGATTTTTGTTAAAGGTTGTATTGGCCTTTGCACAGCATAGCACTTATTTTCAAACAACTTTGGTAAGACACACGTTGTCAAAAAATTATTTTATGAAGAAAATAACATGAAATGTTGAGTTAGAAACTTTGAATATTCAAAAATATATGTTTTGTTGTCTACTGTGTCTGTTACAATCATGTACAAAATGTTTAAATAAGGGGTGATTATGCTGGACACTTACTATTTTTTCTAACATATGTATGGTTTAAATGCAAGCTTGCTAGTGAATCTAAATGGATATTTCTTAAAAATATTACGTCTTTTTTTAGTTCTTATCATATTTGATTTGATTTGATATGATTTGGTTTATTGCAATAAAAGAACATGCAGCTGGGAAGCTGAAATTATTCACTTTACAAAGTCAATGTACAACACAATAAACGATCGAAATATGAATTACTAAAACGTACGACTATAAATCATGCATAATGAAACAAAATGAAATTCACTTATTACACCAAAATCTAAATATATTACATACATCAAAATCTAAATATATTACAAATTTTATTGTAATGGACAGTTCAGTAAATATGTTTAGTACATGTATGTAGTTGTGTAATGTAGGTTTACAACAAAATTACTAACCTCTTCAGCTGCAAACTTGAGTACAGCAGTGAATGGTGTTGATTCCGGTACACTTAGCCTGCATGAAAATAAATTATTTTCACCGTTAATGGGGTGGATGAGTAATATAGTCAATCCTGTCGATAGTGACCGCCCAAGGGAAACACAAATGTGGTCTTTGTAGACAGGTGACCACCTGTCCATAAAGACAAGCAGGTTTGACTGAACCTCGTAATTGAATTAAAAGTCAGATCACAGCAGGTTTGGTTTGATGATTGATTGATTTTTATTTGTCAAGCTTCTAACATACAATATACAAGGATAACAGATTAAAATTAAGTCAGCTTGAACAGGATAACCCACGAAAGCTTGAGAACTTATTTCCAGTGGGGTCCCCAACAGACATGTACAAAATTAATAAGTTTAATTGTAATATATAAGATAAGAAGATAAGAAGAAAACAAATATTATTAAAGACAATAATGATGATAATGATAATAACAACATTAAACTGACGATAGAAATAATGATAATGAAGAAAAAGAAAAAGGAGAAGGAGGAGAATAAGAAAAAGAGGAGCAGGAGGAGGATAAAATTAATCAAAATTATGAACCCATTTAATTCTAATTTTGAAAATATATAATTTTTTGCTCTCGGAATGATTAACCTTCAGAAGTTTAGATAAATGAACCTTCAAAATATTGCTGTAGTAGACCTAATTTTGTAAATGTCGGAATTGTGCAATGACAGTTTGGCAATGTACATTGTGAACAGTTTCATTATCAGAAATCAGAATTGTGGTAATTGCTAATTGGAATAGAAAATCTCTGTTTCAGTATTAGTAGCCTTCAGAAAATATGTGCTTGTCGCACTTAAATTGAGGATCTATGTGCGTAGTATGACCCAAGGGTGAATAAAGGTGTGTGTTTTAAATGTAATGCTGTGGAGGCGGAGGTGCGCATACGTGTCATTAATAACAGTACATAAATGAAAGTACATGGGGCACCATTACAGAACATATGTTACTTACACTTTGAAGGGCAGTTTTGGATCCGAAGTGAGCGTAATCTTGAAGGTTACTTTCGATCTACAGACAAAATACATAGAAAAATACGGAATAATGATTCGAAATACCGCCAATGATACAAACATATTACAAAAAGACGAAATAAACAAGGTATACTTACGCCATCCTGTGCGATACGTTCAATCCGCTCTCCTTGAAACTAGCGACCAATAAGTAACCGACTAAAAAGAGGAATTGCACATTCTATTCTGTGAACATGGTGAATCACCAGTATCATATCCCATGCATATAGGGAAATCCCACCTTGATAGAAAACTAGCAAAGAATTCATAGAAGTAGAAAGTTTTATATTATGCATAATTATTTCAGAGTATTTGAAATGGACTGTAAGAATTGTAAGGGAAGACAGGGGAGATGCAGGAGAAGGGGCCGGGAGGGGGGGGGGGGGGGGGGGGGGGGGGGGGTAGAGAGACATAGAGAAAGGTAAAGAAAGAAGGGGGTGGATAATATTCATCTGTGTAGAAAACTTGCAGGGATCAAGGATAATGAAGGTTACTCATTCTTACATCTTTGCTCGTGAGGAGAACAAATATTCTGTTAAAAAGTTATAATGCAATTGTTATGCATATGCTTCAAATATAAACATCATTTATTCTATATGATAAGCTTCTTGTATTACAATATATTTTGTTGGAGAATATTTCAACCAAGGTTTATCAACTTCCTCTACCCCTCATTTTTCAAAATTTCCTCTGTAAATATTTGTTTACAAAAAACACTTAAAGGGGAAGCCCACCCTGGTATTACAATGGTTTTAATAAAAGAAGATAATGAGAGGAACAGGTGCAGTGAAAGTCTGAGCAATCAATCAATCTAAAATCCTAAATATACAATGTGGATTGTCCCTTGAGCTCTTTCACTTGATTCAGAACATTCACAACTCTCTGAGACAGAACTCTAGGATTAAAGACAACTCACTAAGAGGGGTTTTCTTCTGACAATGCAAGATAGTTTTATTTGCTTTGCATTGCAACTGACATGTTGTAATGCCCATAGCATGATTCACAGTAATTCCTCATCTCATAGATGAATCTTCAACTGCTTGGAATATAGATTGAAAAAATTCTGTATTACATTATCATTATCACCATCATGTGTGAGAAAAAATTGTACCTCAACATCTGCCAATTCTCATTTCATTTGTGCTCATATGGTAATAATTCAAGCAGGTAATTTGTTCAAAGAACTAACAGTAAAGCTCTGTATTCTAACAACTCAGTTTAACCCAACCCTGGGTCTATAGATCCTGTTCAACAAAGGAAATTTTAGATCGAAAACTAAAATCCTTTATTTTCTCACCTTATCTTGAACAAAGCTTACACCCAGCGTTGGGTTTGAAAGTACAGGCCATACAGTATAAGTAAAATATGCAAGTATTCAAAATATATTCTCTGTTGCAATCCTAGATGCCATCCAAGACTAGTCATTCCAGGGACCCATTTCACAAAGCCTCTTTTCAATGACAAATCTGCTGATAACCAATCAGAAGCAAGGATTTCAGTAGCTTATAACAAAAACTATCATTTGTCACCGATGACAAGTTTTGTGAAATGGGGCCCAGGAAATAGTATACTTCAAAGACATGGCCCAAAATGTTTTGGAGTATATGGGATTTTATGTTCATCCATTCTTTATGAAAAAATAAAGTAATACCTCCACACATTGTTCGTGAATGGATGGCATTTTTCAGAATTATATGTAGTTTTCCATTCCTGGTACATAAATATATCAACAAATCTGAATATTTTCCTTACAATGCAGGTTAGAAAAACCAGCCGTCATAAGCTGAGCGTAGAGTTGCATACCAACAAGTGATCGCTTGACGAATATCATTTATACATGAATATCACTTCATGGGTGGATACCCTGTACCATCATATTTGACCTGTAATTGAGTTAAAGGTTAAAGATAAAGGTGAGTTCTGGTAAAAAAAAAGAAAATGAATTCTAACATAATCAAACGAAACTTACACTGAATGTTCAAGATGACAAATAAATGTCATTTGCCAAACAATTTGGTAGCATACTGGCTGAGTAATGGGCATAGAAAGATTAGGAAATCAAGGCTAGTAGCCCCGACATCATTTGTGTAGTCCCATATACATGTATCTGTGTACAGTGTTTGTTACTTTACCAAGACTGGGCCAAATTTATTATGATTTTGATGACTCCAGAACTTGAAGTACACACCAATACTTACATGCTACATGATCAACTTTTTCTGATCCATTCCAGACCTTTTCTTTCACAATAAAATCAGATGACCAGAACTCACTTTTATCTTTAATAAAATAATATCCAGTAGATTTCACAGAGATTAAGTGAGGTTATTGAAAAGTTATATTTACTTGTACGTGTGGTGTGCACATGAATAAACCCTAGCCCTAATAGCACAATACAAGACAGATTGACAGAGAAAATATTTCTGGAATTAGATGGCGATGATCATTTGATAGGCCAGGAGTGTGACATGGTCTGCAGCCGGCACAAGAGAAAATGAATTCATATACCAGATTCTCACATACAATTTCCGATGTTGAAGAATCAAGAAAAAGTAATTTTTTTTCTCTCTCTCTTTACAATGGTACTTTTATTCATAATCTCCTAAGATAAAGGTTTTTAATTCTTCAAATGTGAACTCCAGTTTAAATCTAATGCAAGAAAAAAAAGAAGTTTAAAGATCATTTTCAAAGATAATATTAGACACTGAATCCATGCGTAGCTATAATACACAGATCTCTTTAACTTAATCTTAATTCTGAAAAAAAACATTGTCATATTAGCACTTAGACATGTACTTCAGAAGAAGAAAATCAATCAAAATAAATAAATTCAATAGAAGAAAAGACAAACTCAAAAGGGAAAAAGTATTTGTTTTGTAGTTGTTATGGTCATAAACCTCAGCTAATGACTTTCACAAATGCAATACACAAAAATATAGCCATCTTCAGTCTTCAATACACATTTTGAAGAATACACAAAAATGGCAACCATAACATTCAAAATTAATTTCATCTCATTCTCTTCATAAAGGTAGTGTTTTCCAGGCATCAGGCAACAACTTAATAATAATAATAGCCTAATAGTCAACTCCAAATTTTATGAAACCGAAACCGAAATTCTTTTTGCCCAATTGATCGTGGGCCCGGCAGCCACTGAGCAGCGCCAGATCGACATTGCTCTATCCCTTATTGTTGAACGCCAAACAAGGTAGCAACAACTCCCATCTTTTAACTTGGCTGATTTGAGGGATTTTCTCCAGGAGTTCATGAAATCATTCAATTTTTTTTCTTCAGTTCAAATGTGAATTATCACCCTGTCCGAATTAAGTCTCTTTTATTGCTGTGTGAATTGTTCATGTTACTTGTATGTCTGCAAAACTATCACGACTACCTACATGATCATCGTTCATCATACACCAACAGATCACGTTTACGACATATCAGTATCCACTCCTTTGTACAGAAAGGCGATGTTAGTACAATAATTGCACTGACATGAAACATAAACGGTAGTCCGGTGTAAATGCTTAAAGCGATATATACAAGACTGTTTTCATGTAATTAAAAAATATATTGAAAATTTGAAGAAAAAAAACAAAACGGTGACAGGGATACATGTAAGTTCATGAATAAGTTAAACAAAGCAAAGACATTATATGCTGCATTTAAATGTTTATTTCATGAAGGGAAATGTGGTATTTGTTTTTAAGTGTTTCTTAAACTTTAGTTTATTGTATTAATAAACACATTGCAATGGGTGCAGACAATAGTAATAACACCGATAGTAAAATAATTGATATGTAGCAATTTTTTACCAAGGTGTGAAGTGATAAGGGAGAAGTAACATTGTATGTTATGTTTCATGAAGAGGAGTCCTAGGGGGCGTTTCACACAGAGTTAAGTTGGACTTAAAAGTCATGCTTAAGTTTCTACTTGCAGGCGCTATATTACACATCAACGCATTGGTCAGATCACGGTCAGGGGACGTGGCGCTTTTCGTTGTCTTATCAATGAGATTGCTTGTTAAATAGTGTATGCGCATTGGCACTTAGGCATGACTTTAAGTCTGACTTAACTCTTTGTGAAACAGCCCCCTGGAGATCAAGAAACAGAGCAAAAGAATATACAGGTGGAAAAGAAAATGAATGAGCCCTGTGGTCCATTGCTTGCACTCAACCTCTGCAAAAATTGCAAAATATTTGAGCAACATATAATTTACTTCAAAGATTGCAAACAAGTTCTGACATAATTCATTTCTCTATGACTCAGATAATGTCATTATGTCCAACTACAGGTATGTTAGCACTTGAAAAGAGAATAGTTCTTTGTGTCTTGCTGTTGTACATAGTCAATGGTCCAAATAGCTGCAGACTCAAGAAAACTGTTTTATAAGATTCCTAGACGAGTCATACAATCTTCTTGCAATCATGACTCTCCACTTCTTAAGAAATTGAGCACCAGTTCTGATGTTTCTTGATGAATTCCACCCTGTTATTCCATCCATTTTAAGCTGGGCTTGCGCACAGAGAAAGGCAGTCCCTTGGCGCCCACAAAGGCTAGTTTATGACTTCGGAATAGATAGAAGGTTTGGAGATTCAATGATCCCAGAAGATTTCTAGAATCTTCTCTTAATCGTGACTTTCCACATCTTTGTCTAAAATCGAGAATCCGTTCTGATGATATTTCTTGATGAATCCCACACTGTCGTGCAATAAGAGTTCCGGATAGTTCAAGGTCGATTCAGCAATCTCACAAGATTTGTAACAACTTCTTGAGTTCAATCATAACTTGCCAGTCAGGTTTCTCTAATTCATCCCGGAAGTAGGTCTTGACGGCGTCTATTGATTCTCTGCTGATCTGTACAGGATTTAAAAAAGAAACAACATGGGGCAGGTTTAATAATCGCCTATTTTTTCCTTCTGTTTAATACTGATGGTGTCAAAAGAAGTTTTCTTTAACACCACTTCACCAATCAGATGAAGTGCTTCAGTTATTTCTCTTTTTGTTGTTGTTGTTTATTTCAGTTTATTAACAGCTCTATCACTATGATTCAACTATTATTTAGCATATGGACAGGTGCAAGAATAACTCTCACGAGTATAGATAGACCTACCTTGCTAACAAGAAGGTCAGTGTGATCAAAATGCCTGCCGTACATCTTGGGAGCATCGCCAGAAACATTTTCAATCTTGATGCAGATCTCTTGACCCTTGCGAGCTGTGTCCACCATCTTATGGTTTAGCTCCAGACTGCTCACAACACCTATCTCACAGTTCTACCAAAGAAACAAATGATAGGAGTTAGAAATATTTAAAGACATGCTGCCAGCAGTTTCCAAGTGCAGTATAATCCAATTCGCCGACTCCTGACTTGGTAGAAATACCATTATATGTGTGAAGTGTGAAACGAAATTTGGATGTTCCACCAAGCTTTTGAGCTTCCACACAATGTCTTGGACAGTCTCCGGTTCAGGAATTTAATGATGATGAGCTTTCCTTATGGGGTAGTTGGAAGTGGGTGAAGTGCGTTACATAAAACCTGGTCATAAAATGAAGGCCATTTCCTGTTATTGATAACATTCCGTTATCAGGTGAACACCCGAATGGTGTCCCATTCCCCATCGAGTTTGCCAAATAACCCGCTATTTTCTGACTCAGGATATTATTCTGAAGCTCAAAATTACGTCTTCACCGGACCGATATGCTCATCACAAACTAGCTCGGAAGGGCGCAAATTAGCCCGCTATTTCGCAAATAGCGGGATATTTTGGAAACAAGACCAAGATTTCTTGGGATATTTTCTGAATCAAATATCCCGCTAATTGCAACTGCTGGTTGATGAAGGAGCAAATTAGCTGGATAATTTGCGATCGAAGAGCTGATGAAGAGAAGCCCAATGAGAAGCCATGCTATGTGTCTTTAAAATGACACCTTTCACTCTCCGTTCTTCATCGGTGTCTCCCTCAAGTCTTTTTTATTGTTGGTACAACTGAACAGAAAATGTTAAATATAATGTAAAAAATATCCTTATTCTGAATACTTAAAACTATTATAAGTTGTCTTGGGAGAATACTTTGGTTGGGGATGGATTAAGTCAAACTATCCCATGGTGTATTGAATTTGAGATAATCCTGACATTTTCAAAATTTTTGTTTCTAAACTATTTTTGTTCTATTAACAAAAATAATAAGATGTAAATTACATGTATTTGAAGTATTATGAACATTCACAAATTCTATATTGTCCAGTGTATTCTTTTAAAATACGCAATAACTGAAGCAGAATCCATTATACCAATTCTTACTTCTCTGGAAGGAACGATGATCGGCGTGCCCTGCTTGACAATACCGCCCTCTACGGACACGCCCATGACGATGGGGTTCCTGGCATTGAAGATGTGCTGGGACAGGATGCGGAGCTTGCAGGGGAAGACAGCTATATGTTTGTGCAGCTCCTTGTTTCTCTTCTTGAGTTCTTCACGGTAAGCCATGAAGCGGTCAAAGAGATGGTAGATGATGTCCGCCTGGAAGACCTTGATGCCCTCGCGGTCGGCCATCTCCTGGGCGTCGCGCTCCACCTTGACGTCGAACGCGAGGATGACAGCGTACCTGGAGGGAAGGTCAGGGAACAGTGAGTGGATAGTTCTTACAACACGATGGGAAGACAGGGGTGAAAGTGAGCACTAACAATTTTTTTTCCCTCGACCAGACCCCCCTTGAGTAAAAAAAAAAAAAAAAAAGATCGAGGGGAAAAAAAATGGCATCTATTAAACAACATTCCCGCCTTTTGAGTAAGAAAATTAGGAAAAAAATAAGGAAAATCAGGAAAATAGGGGTAAAATCAGGAAAAAAATAGGGTAATTATCAGGCCTGAAAGAGCTAGAATGTGCAGAAGCAATCAACTGTGACGTTACCCTCGAATGGATGACTGCCCAACCCCATGTGTTTTAAACTTCGCCTGTATTATGCACATGGGAATGTTGCTGGGCATGGAGGTAATAAGAGCGCTCATTAGCTGATAGTACTATCTTCTGCAGTATCAGATGGACCATACACATACAGTACATGTTACCATCTTCATAATGAACCAGAACTTACGGAAATAAGGGTATTTTCATGATGGAAAAATGCAACAGTCTCTTGTAGCAAGAATTTGTTGTTGTTGTATTACCTATCAACATTTTTCTTAATAAATTCATGACAAATCATCTATGCCCACTGTTTATTTTTAATCCATAAATTCCTAACCAAATTTCTAGAGATCGAGGGGGTACTTACTGGCCGTCATGTTCCAGCATAACGGATGCCTTCATGACGTCTTTCTTGTGCACTGGCCCTATGTTGATACCAGAATACTGAAATACAAATAGAAAGTCAAAAAACAATTACGACTTTACTAGGAGGGAGTTTACAGAAACAAAAAGCATTTGCTGGGACCAACATGATTGATGAGCAATTACCACGTTACAGTAATAATTATTAAAAAAAACATATTAAAAAAAAAATGGATAGGACAAACACAATTAATCTTTACACTAGACACACCAAGTGTATGGATGATTGCAGAAGCTTCAACTCTTTGTTATACAAACAATACTTAAATTGGCTACAAATAGGTTGCTACACATATACAGTAAAACCCATGTACAAATAATGCTCCGGGGAGATAAGAAATATGATCTTCATAAACTGGAAGTCTTTATCAGTATGTGTGGTCTTTACGGACAGGATAATATAATAATAATAATAATAATAATAAATAACATTTATAAAGCCCTAAAAAATGTTAAGTGCTTAACAAAACAAGGTATAATGTAAAATAAACATACAGCAATAATACAAACTGTAATTCTAATAATAATAACAGATAATTAGCAACTTATTTTAAACAAAACTGTCTTATAAATTACTATCAAACAAAGTTTCAATGACTTGATAAGTCTTGGTGAATTATTAGCTTACTGGAATTTTGGAAGTCCTGAGAAATTCGAGCAGAGCTTCGAGGGAGCCGAGTGTCGAAGCCTGGACGTAGACCCCCCTCTCGGACATCTTGATGCTCGTAAGCGCAGCTTTGAGAAGGTGCGCTACTTCTTCCTGTATGTTAAAGAGGAAACCCAAATTCATTAATTTATTACTAGGAAATTAATTATTTGATATATTCATTCATGTACTTTAATATTTATGGTTTAATACACATCCTGATTAGCAGCCAATGGCTGACTTGATCACAATCTACATACACAGAATAATTTAGAAATACATCAAATATAAGAGTACATATGGCAAATATTGTATACATTTTTATTTATCATGTCAAATTTTAATTCACCCTCTTTCATATGATACCAATTATGTTAATGTTAATAATACTGGCATTAATGAATATGTAAGGTTTGAAGTTAATGATGTGACAAGTGGGTTGTGCACAGAAATAATACATTAAATTCATTTTAAGTACGATGCCAAGGAACAACACAAGATATAAAGACACAAAGGAATAGGCCATTTATGTAATGTAAACAAAATTTATGCATGTGCCTTTGTGAAGCGCCTCCATGCAAATCATTTCATTCACCGGTTACAATTAAATGTATCTCAATAGTCAGAATTAAAATTGCATACATTCATTGTTCCTAGGTAGGACAAACATTATGGCTTGCCCTATCTAAAAACACGTAATATATGCAATTTGCATTCTGACTATTGAAATGCAATTATCTGAAACGGGTGAATGAAATAATTTGTATCAAGTATAAATTTGATTACATTACGAAAACGGCCTATTTGAAGAGATGTTCCTTTATTCATCTTTCAATATGTGCAACCTTGAATGGGGTGGTGTTTTACACTATTAAAGTTTCAGACAGCTCCCTTGCAAATTTAACCCACTTTATTTTGGAGGCCTTCATTGGTACCCATATACCAGAACCCATAGCCAGTGCTGCCCTCTATGACTGAATCGAGTAGGGGCGATAGCAAGAGTTGAATATGGCTCATCTTACACGATAGATCTCTATTTCATCTGGTTGCTCAGCCACTAACATGGGAAGTCCAGCCAGAGCTTTCTCCAGATCCTTGGCCAACACCTTGACTCCTTGTGCTCCTTTAATCTCTTTATGCTTGGCATACTGATTCTAAAATGGAGAAGAGGATGAATTAAAGAATTTACATTATGTAAGATTAATTATATGTCAGATGCTGCTTATAAGTATCAGCTTGCATGGTGATGTAGATATACAGTAGGCTTATGGTTGCACGCAATCCTCCCCCCCCCCCCTCTCTCACATGGTGCAACCGTAAGCCTACTCTATAATTATGTGTCGTTCTTGGAAAGTGCATATCGCATTAAGTTATAATGTCTTTTCGCATGTCCAAAGGACTTTTGGATACCATTCAGCCCCCCCCCCCCTCCCCCTTTTGCTCCAGCATCTGTAGCACTGAGTGCATTCCTACCAGGTATCCACTTACTCTATTTAGGTACAAGTATGGCAAATGTGGATCACTGTCTTGCCAAAGGATGTTAGTGCCATGCCAGGGATTCGAACCCTGTACCTTGTGGTTGACAGTCCAGAGTCTTAACCACTAGACCACAACTCCTCTACCCCTGTAAAAGGCTTACATGAACCTGAGGTAGACCCATCAACCCCTTTTGTTTGACTTCACTTTGGACAGTTGTCACAACAGGGTGAAATAATTGACTTCCCGCTTTGCTTCGTTGCATTGATGAATAAGCCAGTTTATAGTTGCAGTCTGAGCATGAGCGGATAAAGGTCATTGCAGACCAAATTGTGAAATACAAGGAGACAAAATACTGGATACGTGCTCATGAAAGTTATGTAATCATTATTCATTAATGCACAAGCAGTGTACTCCATGATACACAGGTGGAAAAGTTCTTTGAAAGGGGGAACAAAGGCTATTTATGTAGCACCTCCATCGCTGCAAGAGTGATTATTTCAAAATGTACAAAGTGGGACCTCTTCATGTTTTGAAGATCTGTGGATATTCGGGGGTCATTTGGGACATGTGCTAACCGTGAACTGGTCTATCAGGGAAAGGGACAAAAAATATTGATTTACCTTGACTCTGAGTTCCTTGAGAGGCTGTGGCATCAATAAACCTCTGACTTGGGATACAATAGGCCCTTCCTGGCCAGCAACCACTATCGTGTCTCCTTCTCTTAGTGTTCCATTGACGAGAATAACATCTATGGTTGTGCCAAGGCCTGGTAGCGATTTCACCTAGTATAGTTAATACAAGGATTGCAAAATACAATTAAAATAATGGTTAGAAACAGGATTTTCATTGACAAGAGGATGCAGTGCCCTTGGGGGGGGGGGGAATAATTGTAATAATGACAATATGTTGTTCTTGTAATGCCCACAACACATGACGATATAACATCTTGATGCGCTTCCAATTGACTTTGGATATCAATACCTCTGCTTAAGCTCCGGCGACCGTAGTGCCCAGTGCAATCCTAAGGAATGAATCCTACCGGGTACCCATCTGGATCGAGTGTCGCAAATGTAGATTAATGTCTTGGCAGAAGACATTAGTGCTATGCCAGGGATTCAAACCCTGTACCTTATGGTTCAGGGTCCGGAGGCTTATCCACTAGATCACAACACTTCTGATGGGGCTACCACCGGTAAAGAAGACTGGTTGTTGTTTTCGTTAACCTAGGCACATGGGCCCTAGCTAAAGTGGAGCTAAGATAGGAGTGTCTTGAGCACCTTGCGTCTTGGATAGACTGAAGATTTTTGATGAAATTGAAGGATAATTTGCGCGATGAAAAGTTACTTTTCAGAAGACTTAGCTGTGAAGAACGACTATGTGCGTATGCGCGAAGAGCGGGATCTCATGTAGTCTCTTCAACGAGACTCACGAAATAAAATAAGCCAATACTATTATTGAATTGAATTGAATTGAATTTATTTATTCACCACCATTGAAAACATTGAAACAAAAGATAAATGTACAATGACAATGTCAATATAACATAAATGCATGACATGAATTATAAAAAAATACATGTTCTACAGCGATATACATGTACATTATGACAAAGATAAAGTAAACTTTGCTTCAAGAGTAAACAATAAATGACTATTTACAATGAGTTTGTGATCGATGGTAAAATAGAGTAAAAAATAGCACATGTGCTAGTCGAGTCTGACTCTCGTTATCTAAAGCCTAAAATAAAGTTAATTTAAAAATATATGATGGGTTTCCAAATCTTATAAATAATTTTGTGTATAATATTAAAATGAGACTGGTTACTATATACAACTATATAGTTACGAGGTTATGATTCGTGGTTTTCACTTAAGAGTAATTTTGTAAGTTTTTTACGAAAAGAGGTTCTTGATCTCTCAATTCTTAGATCAGTAGGAAGCATATTCCAAAAATTACTTCCAACAAACGAAACAGAAAACTTTCCTTGGTCTGTTTTGAATAAAGGAAGACGTAATTGTCGACCCGTTTTTTGTCTTGTGGAATATTCATGTTGTATCATACTGCAATAATGTTTTAAGGAATGAGGTAATCGTTCATTTATCAAATCAAACACAAAAGTACAAATAGATAATTTATGCAATTTAAAAACATTCAACAATTTGAGGTCATGAAACAGTGCATTAGTATGAGAACGATGTGGCTTGAAAGTTATAGCACGTACAGCCATCTTTTGAGTATAAAATATACAATTCAAGTGTGATTTATAAGTACTACCCCAAACCTCGATGCCATATGTAATATGTGGCTGTATAAGAGCTTTATACAACAGTATCAATATATGTTTAGGGACACAGTGCCGTAATTTAAAGAGGATGCCGACCTTTCTCCGTATACAGTCATTAACAGATTTTATATGTGAATTCCATGTAAAATGTCTGTCAATGGTAATGCCAACAAATGTCGCTTCCTCCACTTCTCTTAATTCTGCCCCAGATATTTCTAATCTCCCTTTAAGCACAGCCTTTCTTCTACGACTACTGAAGAACATGAAATTGGTTTTTGACGCATTGATAGTAAGCTTATTTGCAGTGCACCAATTCTGTATGGATTTTAAATTTTCGTTTACTTCACACTCATCTATTTGATCTACACCTTTGGGAAAAGTATGAAAAATATTAGAATCATCTGCAAATAGTCTGAAATTGAAATAATTTGTCACAGTTGGCAAGTCATTTATATAGATTAAAAACAGAGTTGGTCCTAAGACAGAACCTTGTGGTACACCGCATTTGATATATCTACTTTCTGATGATGACTCTTTGTATTTCACAAACTGCATTCTGTCACTAAGATAGCTTTCGAGCCATTTCAGTGCATGTCCTCGGATGCCATAATGTGATAGCTTTTTAAATAATATGTTATGGTTTATTGTGTCAAAAGCCTTTTGAAAGTCAAGAAACACACCAAGCGTAACACATCCTTCGTCTATACTTTTCAATACCGTATTCATAAGATTAATTAATGATAATTTAGTACTATACTTCTTCCTAAATCCGTACTGATGGTGATATAAAATGTCATGCTTTTCTAGAAAACTGGTCAATCGAGCATTAACTATTTTTTCTAATACTTTACCCAAAATTGGTAAGACAGAAATGGGTCTATAATTCCCCGTTTCATGTTTATTACCTTTCTTAAACAGTGGACTGACTTTAGCAATTTTCATTTGATCAGGGAAATTTCCTGTTTCCAATGAAAGATTGAAGATATGTCTTAATGGTTCAGCCAAAATAGATGCACCATCCTTAATCAGGCGTACTGGAATGTTGTCGTAACCACAAGCTTTCTTCTCGTCTAGAGCCAACATGTGGTCATGAACTTCCTTCATTGTGACCGGTTTCCAAAAAAGGGATTGCTCAACACTATTACTCAAATAATCTTCAAATAATGTGGGTACATTTGGTATTGCTGATGCTAGATTTGGACCGATGTTTACAAAGAAATCATTAAATTCATTGGCAATTTCAGATTCGGTTGTTAGAACTTTATCATTTCCATTAATACGCCTTATAAGTTTTTCTACCTTAGTACCTTTGTTACCTTTATTTCTCCCTGATATTAATTCATTTATGATGTTCCACGTTTTACTAGTGTTATTGCTGTTCTCAGCTAGCAAACCACTGTAATAATTTCTCTTGGCATTGCGAAGAACAGTCGTTAATACATTTCTGTAGTTCCGAAATTTGTGTACATCACTTACATCAAAATTAGATTTCCTTACTTTTAAAAACAATTTATATTTTTTTTCGAACAGACTTCATTATTGATTTGGTTATCCAAGGTTTCTTATAAGCGCGTCCTTTGCAGCTTCTTTTCTCTTTGATTGGTGCATGTTTATTACAAACATTATTAAACAAATTAAGAAAAATGGAGTATGCCATGTTAACATCTTCACAGCTATTGATATGTTGCCATTCTTGCTCAGCAAGGTCATCTTTAAAGTTTTGTACATCATAGTTTTTATAACATCTGTAAGTTACAGTTTGTGGATAATGCAGCTGCTTCAAATTACATGGATTTTCTAAAATCATGAACACAGGGTAGTGATCAGAAATATCACATTCTATAACACCCGAGTGATTATCATACTTGTTCATATTAGTGTATATATGGTCTAATAAGGTTACAGACTCACTGGTTACTCTTGTTGGATATTTTATTTTCTGCTCCATTCCTACGCATTTCATCGCTGTTGAAAACCCTTCTGTTGTTCCGTCTGAACTTAATGAATTTATATTAAAATCTCCTATTATAATGGTATTGCGTCTGTCGACTTTAATGTCTTCTAAAACTGTGAGAAGACTTTCTTGAAACTCTTTAACATCTGTATTTGGTTTCCTATATAAAACACCTACCATCACCTTTTGAAATTCTCCATTGTTTATTTCAAACCAGATTGATTCTGTATGCTTCACTGTATAATCTTTCACGACATATTTCAAATTAAAACGAATATAAGCTCCTACCCCTCCTCCTCTTTCTCTACCATCCCGGCACTTTACCTCCAATAAATAACCTTCCATTTCCAAGGTCGATTTTTCTAAAACTCTCCATACTTCTGATAATGCAATTACATCGAATCTGAACTTAACGCAATCTTCATATAACAACTTTAAGGAATCAACATTTTTGTTTAGCGAACGTACATTTACATGGGAGATACTAATTGATTTTTTACCGTCAAGTGGCAATGTACTATCAAATGAATTTGGACATAACTTGTAAGAATGTGATACAGTGTTATCAAACATATTATTAGAATATTTGTATCATGAAAAAAAGGACATTATGAGGAGACATTACTCCAACAAGCGGAGTCTGAAGTTTTTGTATTCGATATTATCCAAACCAACTGCGAACAAGTCGTCAGGGGTTGAAATTATCTTAAAGGTATCATCGTTCATTTTGCAGACGATGTTCCCTGCCTTCGTTGATACAGATTTCACCTCTGTAGATTTCTTTGCTGCCATCAAGACAGCATAGCGAGTAGAGGTGAGGTCTTCGTTCACAAAAACCTGCCTAAAGGATTCCTTCCCCTTCAAGTGGAAACGCCCCTGGTAGACCTTGTCTCGCTTACGTTGGGCGACAAAGCGCACGACGGTGTCGCGCTTCTTCCCCGCCACCTTCCTTCCAAGGCGATGGCAAGCCGAGATGTCGCTCTCTGCAAGCTGCATCCCGGTCTCCCCAGCCACCTTACAGATTTTCTCGATCAGGATCTCCTCTGTCTCATCCCTCTCCTCCTCAGCCAGACCGCTGATCCTCAAATTATCTTTCCTGCCAGCCTGCTCTATTGCATCTTGTCGAAACTGGAGGTGGAGAAGATGGGGATTGACCACCTCCTTAAATGACCGCAGGCACACCTCTTTCACTGCCTGAACTATAGCAGGAACGGCTGCCTTTACTGCTGCCTCAACTGCCTGTTTCACAACATCTCCCATCATGCCATATTCGCCAATCTCCAACTCTTCTAGATGATCTCCTATATCAACGAAAATCCCCTTCTTTTCCGGAGATGCTGCAGCTGCCATCCCTCGTTGAGAGGCGACCTTGCGATCTACATCATTGTTGACCACAAATGGGCGCTGTGGTGATGGGGGTTTTGCCTGGCCCTGAGCGGCTCCTCGGAGAAACATTCCAGGCATATTATCCTTCTTCGCCTTTCCCTTACTTCCACGACCAGGCATGTTGATAACAGCAAAAGGTGGATGTTCACTTCAGGAAAATAAAGGGATGGGACTGAAATGTGTCCACAGCTACAGAAGTCCAGATTTGGATGTGAATTCTAGCTTCAAATTCTCAGTTTCCAGTCATCTGTTGATCTGTGAACTCTCTCCAAGTAGTGCCTTAACACTAGACAAAGGCCTCACATATCCATATATGGATCAAACAGTGAAAGTTTTTGTTAAATCCAGTATTTTACAGGACACAAAATAACACATCTTCTCTTCCTCGCTGTCCAGAGTATATTATTGTCATTAGCATTACTATTGTTGTCCAGATTAATCTAAACAAGTGCCAGATCACGATGTCTAGACCAAAATTCCCAGCTTTGCAGTAAAAGGATAGAGAAATAATGTTAAGGAGTTCTAAAAACATCAATTTTGACAATTCAGTCTATGCACATACTGAAATATGTGATGTATCTTTAATAGGGCGACTTGATGTCAAAGAATGTAAAAACTCTAAAATGCAATTTATGTAGAATTACACATCCATTGGCTTCTTTTCTACTGGGCCCAAGATAAATCAAGTATTCCAGTCAAGGAAGATTGGGACCCTTGTTTAATATAACTTCTCACTAATATAACATTAACGCCCAAATTTCATAACAAATTTCTCTCAGCCAATCAAACTTACTGATGTCAATAACTTACAACAGTTATTGTGTATTGTTATTGATAACAAGACTTAGGAATCAGGGGGTACGTGTTTCACAAGACTTGTCATCAGTAACAAATGACAGTTGTTGTTATAAGCTACTGAAATCCTTGCTTCTGATGGGTTATCAGCAGATTTGTCACTAATTTGTCATTTGAAAGAAAGGCTTTGTGAAACGGGTCCCAGCAGGGCCCAGGTTTCTTACCTCTAGTGTGGTACACTGCAGCATCTCTGAGAAGGCTATTCTCTTTGCCAGTAAGGTTTGACTAAGAGTCACAATGAGTGCCATGAGGTTCCCCATACCGTCTCCTGAAATAGCTGATGTCGGAACCAGCGAGATATACGTCTTGGGATCAGGGTTGTCGTTGAAGAGGGCAGCATTTAAACTCTGCATTAATGAGAAAGACGTATCAAATGTATCATTTATTCTGTAAATGAACTTTCATAGTAGATGTGAAACAATAGCTAAGTGTTTGATTATTCAACACAAAAAGCAGTCTCTAACAGAACTTTTATATCTAAAGCCCACCACACACTACTATACTACAATTTTTTAAATAAGAATTTGCCATAGCATTCAGCATAAATATTCAAGCATACAAAATCATACGAGTCATGTTTCTAAATAGTTATAGGAATACTAAAGTAACAATGTTGTGGGACTGCATGCTTCCTTTTTAGAATTACAGCGGCATCATTTCAGTTGTGCGATTGTCTATGAATTGAAGCACATTTTTTTGGTTTTATGCCGACTAGAAGATTTAAATCACTAAAAATGTAAATAATTTGTACTTATATCATTATTCAGAACCTCTATCTGGGAGATAAAACTCGTTTAAATTTCTATACGCAATGCAAAGCAATTTCTTTAAAAAATCGATCATAAAACGATTGTGTAGAGTGCAGTGGGCTTAAATAGGAGGTTGAGTTCTGGGAAGAGGTGAAAAATTATTTGTGAGCATTATCATTGTTATTATGCAAGTGTGGAAGAACATCAGATACAAAATGTTCCCTGAAAAGCATGGCTCTTCAAATGCTTTCATATTTTAATTATGGCATGTAACAACATAAAAATCAGAACAGATTTTTATGTCACATGTTCGTGTAGCCCCATATACATCTTTCTGTGTACAGTGCTTGTACCTTTACCAAGACTGGGCCAAATATCGTATCAATTTGATGATTCTAGAACCTTGCAGTACACACCGATACTTATATGCTAGATGATCAAACTTTTCTGATCGATTCCACACCTTTTCTTTCACAATGCCATCACATGACCAGAACTGATCTTAATCTTTAATGATGCATTCACACCATCATAGTCTCACCTGCTCGGCAAACTCTGTGATGATGTTTTTCGTTCTTTCTTCAAACTCATCCCGGGTGTGTCTCTTCTGTTTCTTGATGGCATTTGTGACGTCAGTCTGAGGACTAGACTTCCATTCAAATAACCTGTCAATCTGGTGGGCAAAAAGGAAATTATAGTCACCGGTTGGGGTACTCTGAAGACTTCTAATTTGGGGCGTCAGCCGGGGCTACCTCCAAAATTTGACAAACTTATGGGGCGTTGCAATCAATTGCAAATCCCCAAATCAAGCGTAAGTCTAATTTGCAATTGATAATAATAATAATAATAATAGTGGGTTCTTGTATAGCAACTCAACTTTCTTGCAATGCCCCATTAGTAAGAGAGAGGGATTTAGATGGAGGGGAGAATAAAAGCTAGATCTAGTTAATCAAATTAAATTAAATTAAATTGTTAAAACTTTAATCCAAACAAAACCCTAGGAAATTTATGAGACTAGTGGGGCATTGTAAGAATGTTGAGTTGCAATCGATTGCAAATATCAGTTGCAAGTTTTGCAACTTTCATGCGGTCACTTACAGTAGTTGCAAATCTCTCTTGCTCTGGGAAACCTGATATCCATATCCTCATATCCTATCAACAACATTTACGACCATGCCTTTTATAAGTGAAAAAAAAACAAAGACCAGTAGCTGCGTCATGCCCCCCCAAATTGTTTGTTTGTCTGTTTGTTTTATTCATTTCAATATAGTGTTTAAAAAAAATAAATTGTTTGAAGATTAATTTTCTTTTCAAGTCTGATGATATCAGCAAATTTAAACAAATATGGGCAAGTATTCATTATCATATGAACCCGGTTAATACATACACTGTAAACATGAAGACGATTATATAAACTTCATTAACATACAAACATTTCAAGACATGGGTAGTATCCATGCTGTTACAAAAATGACCTAAATGAAGCTGAAGTGCTACTTAAATGCATTGTTTAATAATAATTATTATAATAATAATAAAGTCCACTCCAAATCTTATTAAGTTAAACCGAAAATGGAAATTCTTTTTGCCCAATTGATCGTGAGCCTGGCAGCCACTGAGCAGCGCCAGATCGACGTTGCTCTATCCCTTATTGTTGAACGCCTAAACAAGGTAGCAGCAACTCCCGTCTTTTAACGTCTTTTGGTATGACGCGGCTGGGGTTTCAGTGTCTGTGATATGGTGCAATATTGAAGCCCTACAAAAATTGCGCTTCAAAATGATCATAAAGTGCCTCAAAAAAAAAAAAATCTTTGAGTGACCGGTTTTTACCATACTCATTTTCCCCATTAGACTGTAGTGTTATAAAAAACGTTGGGAAAGGTTTGAAATTTTGATTTCCATTCGGCGATCGGCTTGAAAACGTCATGAGATTACTGACTGACCTACAGGTTTATTATTATGATTGCAGCATGAGCTAAATCCAGGATTTTGTTTCAGAATCTGAGACAAAGTTACTGGATCCCTTTAAAACTATGCCTGAAAAAGATGATGAAATGAAGCATTCATGTGATTTTGAAATATATCAAACCAGCAATAGGAGGTGACTCACTTTATTAAGGGCTACTATGAAGGGTGTCTTTTTCTGCTTCAAGAGATTGATGGACTCTATCGTCTGTGGTTCCAGACCGTGCATAATGTCGACGACAAGGATGGCGATGTCGCATAGCGATGACCCCCTCGACCTGAGATTACTGAAGGACTCGTGACCGGGTGTGTCGATAATCAGAAGCCCCGGAATCTTCATCTCTTCTTTGGCAAACTAAATTCAAACAAAAAAGTGAATTCTGTCAAGTTGGTCTAGAATCTGAACAACAACCACTTCACAATATATAGCTTCATTAAGATTATGATTCATCCAGCACCGATTCCCAGCCAGTTATACATCAAATACTAGATAGTTCACGCGCCCTTAATGCATCCACGATCAGAATTGAACAAGACAGGGTCTCCCAGTACGGAATCAGATCACATTAAGAAGCCCATACAAACTGGCGAAACGTTGCAGAGTAATTGATTCATAACTACGTATTTTTGGAACCTAAAGAGTCTGGACTATTTTGACAATCTTGCAATTCTCTCCCTTCTTTAGATCTCTGCTGCTAAATGATAACAACTACAATTTAACTTTATATCAAATCATTCTTCAATTTACCACATCAAGTGTAGTTTCTCAGTTGTACTTAAAAGAAAATCCATGGTAAAACCAAGAGAGATAGGAGAGAGAGAGGGAAAGGAAAGGAGAAGGGAGTAGAAAGAAAAGGGGATTGGTGAGAATGGAGACAAACAGACTGAAGATGACATGTGGTGTGAGAGGGGGGGGGGGGGGTGATGACTTAGATAGGGCAGGATGGGGTGGGATGGGAGGGGAGGGGTTGGGGGGGGGGGGGGGGTAGTGAGAATGGAAATAGAAGAGAACAGAAAGAAAGTGGAAGTGATTAAAGGGAGGAGAATTCAAGGCCCTGTTTCATCAAACTTGTTAAATGCTAAATTTCTATGACAAATTTGCTCTCAGCCAATCAAATGCCACAATTTCAGTAGCTTATAACACTTATTGCAATTTTCTTATTGATAAAATTTTTTATGAAACATGGACCAGAATGGATACAGGAGTTACTGAGGAGTACGGCAGAAGGAAGAGCAATAGGGACCTTACCTCTCGACACATTTTGGTTTGGTCTTGAATAGCCTGTTGAGGGATCATGGTAGCACCTATCTGTTGTGTAATACCCCCTGCCTCTCCATCTTGTACGTTGCTATGACGAATCTGGAAGAAAGAAATACAAGGACAAATAGGAAATGGAAAGTGGATAACTGTCAAGAGTCGAGTAATTGGGGGTTCTATGGTTGTTATGTAAAGTGATATTAGGTAGGACAGGCCATAATTTTTGTCCTACCTTACAACAATTAATATATGCAATTTGCATATGGAGTATTGAAATACAATTATTTGTAACAGCTGAATGACATAACTTGTAACATGGCACTCAACAAAGATTTGTGCATTAAATTTGATCACATAATGAAAATGGCCTATTGTCAATGGAGCATGTATTGTAGTAACCATAATAATAATAGTAGAGATTTAAAACCTACTTTCTAACAAGATATTAAGTCACTCATGGTACTACAATAATTAGTTGTGCAAATAGACTATTCAAGACATTCATAGTTTAGGAATAAAATCACATACATTTTATACAAAATATACAACAATGAGTAGCTCTGGGTAAACAGAGTCTGCTTTGGATTGATTCCAAAGATTTCTGGACACTTAAGTACAGGGTAGCTTGTTCCAAAGAAGTGGTGCGACACTGCGACATGACCAAAAGCTCTATGGGTGGTTGGGGTTCGGGGGACAACGAGTATGGTTGTGGCAGACGAACAAAATAGACACACCGGTGCCGAATCAGGAAGAGCTTGTGCAATCAGATTCTTACCTTGTCTAAGATCTTGGTTTTGCCGGTATCTACGTGACCCAAGACACAAACTACCGGAGACCTCAGATGATCCGTTGTCTTCTTCTTTTCGGCGTCTTCCTTACGTTTCTACATCCAAACACACACAGACAAAACGGAATGCACTTTGATTATAGCTTTGTCTCATTCCTCTTTGAAAAACAGGCACCCTTCATGATATTAATTAAATTAAACATGCATCAACAATTTTTTTGGGGGGCTCTAATTTTGACACTATTCTAATGTTTTTTGTACACTGGATTTTTTTGTATTATTGAAAATGACCTTACACAATTTGGATTTAACAATTTAATTGGAATATTATCATTTTAATCGGGGGTGGGGGGGGGGGGTGCTTCGGAGTTCTTGCATGTATTATTTTTGTTATGTATATAAAAAGGTCAATTATTGTCATAATATATTTTTTAAATTTCCTCATTGAAAATATTTCTGAGAAAAGTAATTTTATTATCTCTGTATTATAATCATGAAGAGGCATGTGACAGTACATACATTTTTCCTATTTCTGTGCATTATGATGCTGACATTTGAACTCAATATCTTTATAACACAAATCTTAAATAATTTATTCGTAAAAAGAAAATTGAATTTTACCTCCATCCTCTGCATTGCTCTGTGTCTTATTTTCTCCCCCTTGGTCATCTCTTCATCGCTTGAGACTTCATCACTCTCTGATTCCTCCTCCTCCTCCTCCTCTTCATCATCGCTCTCATCTTCTTCACTCTCCTCTTCATCTTCATCATCCTCCTCCTCCTCTTTGCTCTCTTGTGATTTGATGGTGATTTTGGCTTTTGGCATTTTGTCTGTCAATACAAAATGTGAAATGTAAGATTATTAACTGAAACAGTTGTATTCCCACAGAAGTGATGCAAAGTAGCAAAGAAAACTTCAAAATAATTGTAATTCTCATGAATGAATAAAGGTAAAATTGAAAGAGAGAGAGAGAGAGAGAGAGAGAAAGAGAGTCACAAAAACACATGCTACACAATTATAGGTTGCTAGTTGTTTAAAGGAAAATCCAACCTTAAAAGCAAAAAATATCAGAAAAGCAGACTGGTGAAAGTTTGAAAGAAATCAGAGAAAAAATAATAAAGTTAGGAAATTAAAAAAGTTGTAATCATTACATGGGCGCTTCTACTAATCTGGATTTATAGAGTGCTTAATACGGAATACCATCTCTAAGTGCTTTACAGATATTATTACCCTGGTCATTGGATTCATTCACAAACCATGTGCACCATCTCCACTCTCTGGGGAGTATTTCTACCATTGGTCACCATGAGGGCATACAGCAATTATTAACACAAAGGCTTTCGTCATCCTACCAGGTCCCCATTTTTCTCCTTGGTATGGAGTGGCAAATGCAGATTAATGCCTTGCCAAAAGGCATTAGTGCGTGTCAGGGGTCGAACCCACTACCTTTGAGTTTCAAGTCAAGTGCTTAAACCACTCGACCACTCGACCACAACACCTCTACCTCTATCATTACAACTGTGATACACCAAATAAATGTTGATTGCCTTACCCGTTTTCTCCTCTATGTTCTCCTTTTCTTCCTCCTCTTCTTCTTCCCAGTTATCGGCCACGTCATCCTCCGCATCCCAAGACTCTTTGATCTCATTCTCCGTCTTGACCTCCTCCTCCTCCTTCTCCTCGTTCTCCGCGGTGGTGGTAGAATCCGTCACTTGCTCTTCTGACTTCTCCTCCTCTGTCATTGGATGCAGAGAGAAGGGAAGGAAGAATGAATTGAGGCTCGATCACACATAACGCTTTGAACTTCATGTTCCGAGCATTGGAAATGTGTGAAATTATGTTCAACCCTCCATATTCCCAATACGGTACATAAAGTATTGCTTATACCGAGAACCATCTAATTTTCATTGCAGAACAAGTACTAACACTAAATAGATTCTTTAAAAAAAAAAATTACTGAAAAATACTGTAAGATTCATAATAAGAAAGCTAAGATTTATTATGCAACTTCATCTCCAATACATAGCTATGGAAACAATATTTGCCTGGAGAATGTTTACCACATTAAAAAGCCAATACCCCTGATACCAACTTTTCATTACATCATATTTATGTTTAAAGTAGTCCTAGTTCAAAGTCCAATACATGTAAAGAATAATAATTATTGGGTTCTTGTATAGCACTCATGGTCGTCATACTTGACGCTCCTGGTGCTTCACTGTTATTTCAGTAAGTCTTAAATCATACTTTAACAAAAAAGCTCTTTAATTGTGGTCAGCACTTTCGCACAGATTTTATTTCCTCTCAATTCAGGAAGGAAATGATCATCTTACCTTGATTATCTTTTTCCGTTGAAATTTGCTCTGTATAAACACAAAATTCACAGAGAAATTATCAGAATAATGAAGTTATGTAGCAAATTTATTACAGAAAATTTACAAATTAAATGTTCAAATTGTCATAAAAGTGCAAGCCTGTCATGCCTTCCTCCCTCCTGATTCCCCTTTATCTCACCTTCCATCATTAGAAGTTCCTCCCTTCCTCATTCATGCTTTTCCTCTATAACAGGCCAGATTGTATAAAAAGTCCTCTTTTTATTATATCTCTTTTGGGTTTACTATGTTACCAAAAATTGCTCTCCATGATTACTCTTAACAAAAATTAATCATATTGTTTTCTACTGGAATTTAACTTTTATTCTTACAATTCAATTTTCAGGGCTAAATCACTTTCCATGCTGATGTATCCTTTTTATCACTTACAAACCCTAACAGTCAATACTTTCACATTTGCCAAAAGAGGCAAGTTTTGAGGTATGGTTTGAAGTGCACTAAACTGTCATTCTCACAAAGAGAGGAAGGGAGTGAGTTCCATAAAACAACAACAACTACAACAAAACTTTTTCTATGAGAGACCCACCTTCTGGCTTCTTCTTCTTCCTATCCCTCTTCCCATAGACGACCCTGGTCTCCTCGGTGCCAGCCTCTCTAGTAGGGATCGCAACACCCTGTTCTTTCATCAGCCTCAGCATCTCCTCAGCTCGACGCTTCTTCTCTTTCTCCTTGGGAGTCATGTACGTCCCATCCTTCTTCATCTGCTCTATCCTCTCCTACAAAGTTAATCACAATCAACAAAGGTTAGTCATAAGTCCATACCTACAGGAACATATCGAGGGGTCAGTGACACAAAGACGTAACTCCATTTTGAGAAAAATTGGTTATGTGTCACTGAGCACTTGGGCCTTAAGGAGTTAAGTCTATGTTTCACTAGCCATTGACTTCAATGGGATGGTGGGTGGAGTTAAGTCTTTGTGTTTCCTGGAAAGCCAACATTTTTCTGAACAATTTGATATCAAATACTCATTTTGGCAAAATATGGAGTTACGTCTTTGTGTCACTGAACCCTCAATATGTGCTTCATTCCAGACAGTCAGGGATGCCATTTAGAATTGATCAGAGGGCCTGAAAATCACCTAGAATGAGCTATTTTGTACACAAAAAAACAACCTAATTTATGGCCTGAAAATAAATTGCCAGGGCCTGATTCAGGCTTTTGCCTGAAATCTGGCATCCCGATTAAAGTCAACAGAACACCAACTTGTCCTAAGATAGAAAATACATAGCAAGATGAAGCAGTGAAATGGTATGTATTTGGATACTTATATCACTCACTTTAATGTAGATTTTTTTACTCATTTTGTTAGATTAATAGTAGCCTAGAAAGAGGAACGGATGAATGGATGGATGGATGGGACACCTGGAAACATACACTGTTATGTATTCAACACCAACTTTGGAGGCAGAGGCATACAGATGATAAATGCAGAAGTGTTTGGGGGCATCACTGATCCAGACAGAGGAAGATAAAGAGAGAGAGAGAGAAGGAGAGAGAGAGAGAGAGAAGGAGAGAGAGAGAGAGAAGGAGAGAGGGAGGGAGAGAGAAAGAGAAAGAGAAAGAGAGAGAAGAGAGAGAGAGAGAGAGAAGAGAGAGAGAGAGAGAGAGAGAGAGAGAAGAGAGAGAGAGAGAGAACGAGAGAGAAAAAAGAGAAAAAGAGAAAAAAGAGAGAAAAGAGAGAAAAGAGAGAGAGAAAGAGAGAAAAGAGAGAGAGAGAAGAGAGAGAAAAGAGAGAAAAAAAGATAGAGAGAGAGAAGAGAGAGAGAACGAGAGAGAGAGAGAGAGAGAAAGAAAGAAAGAGAAAAGAGAGAGAGAGAGAAAAGAGGGAGAGAGAGAGAGCAAGGGGACAAGTATACACTGACCTTTTTCCTTTGCTTCTGCCTCTCTTTCCTCTCCTTCTCCAGTGCTATCTTCTCCAACCTGAGCTCCTCTGCTTCCTCGGCAGCCTTCTGCTTGGCCTCCTCCTCGGCCTGCAACCTCTCCTCATCGTCCTTCATCTTCTTCAGGGCTTCCTGCATCAGCTTCAGCTGACCTCTGTTAGGCTTCTTCTTCTTCTCCTCTTCCTCGCCTTTCTTTCCCTTCTTCTTCTTTTTCTTCTTGCCACTTTCTTCCTCTTCTTCCTCTCCCCCATCTTCTTTTGGCTCTCCTTCATCTACACACACACAAAGTAGACAAGATCATAATATTACATATTTATTCTCACTCTTCTTTCCTTTTCCTTTGCAATGTTTCCATGTTGACACATACTATCTTCAAGTTTGAAGTTCATATCTCAAGTGGTTCTTGAGATATCGCAATGACGGAAATCGGACAGACAGATGGTCGGAGAACCTGAAAACATAGTTAAAAGGTAATAGATGTAAAATTTCTAACCAGATTTAATTAACTTTGTTATAATGACAGCATTAATTTCTGAAAATCCCTTTTTACATAATTAACCACATTTTATAATAAAAATAGTGAAATTTAATATATGGGTAAGACAATTGACACGGTGGGTCGAAATATCAAAAAATTAAACAAAATCCAGATATTGTTCCACAAAGGTCAAATGATCTGCATTCCATTGGCATAGAAGAAATATGTTAAAATTACACCTTGTATTTTCACCTAAAATTTGCTTTTTTCATAGAATTACCCAGGGATTGTTCTTGTTATGATGATTATTTTGTCCCCAAATACCTCAAATGGACATTTTCCCCCCTGCTTCTGTTGCTTTGACTTGTTCTTTTAGCCTTTCCCTTCTCAGCATAATTAACTAATTATTCATTATTGATAGATTTTACCTTCTTTAGGCTTAGCACCATCATCATCACCCCTTTCTTCCTTGGTGTCGCTTGGTTTCTCTTCTTCAGTTGATTTTGCTTGTTCCTTCAGCCTTTTCCTTCTTGCTTCCTCCCTCTGCGCCTCCTTCTTCTTCTTCTCTCGTTCCTTCTTCTCGGCCTTCTTTTGGGCAGCGGTCTTCATGACTGGGCCGGCATCTTCGTCACCGTCTTGGGTATCCACAGCCTGTGTTAGGAACACGAACAAATGTTTTAATCCACAAACAAAGTTCTAAAAGTGTCATTATTTTAACCCGTAAGCTGCCAAACCCTCGAAAAAATCAGCTGGGACTAAAATGATGGATTCATTAATGGGCTTAAAGTATTGTTCAGAGTGGGTTGCCGGCATGGCTGATTATATTGTTCTATAAGTCCATCCAACAGTCATTTTGGCATTTCATTACATGGGAAACGGTTGAAAAGAGATCTTGCATTTAGTTTGGTATACAAAAATCCGACACATTGAGGGTTAACATTAATTTTTTTTTTGAGCACTGGCAGTGAAGCTACATTTCAAGGAAGTATGTTAAAAAAGTCTAGTTGATAGGAAGCTGTGACAAGTATAGGCTTTCTAAATGTCAACAAATCAACAATAACTTGCTGAAAACCACTTCACTTATCTCAAGAACTGTCGACCCAGATATCTTACAAATAAAGCAACTCTTGAAGGTAGACAACATACGTGGCCTGGGAGAAATTCCCATAATTTCATGGAATGCTTTGTACACGTTAATTTTTCAGTAATTATGTATTTTATTTTAGAGTAATTTTAAATGGTATTCATTTCTCCTTGAAATATTCCATGATAATTAAGCAGGATTCTGTTAAAATCTATTTTTGTTCATTATGAGAACTCAAGATTATAATATCACTGACAATTTAAGGAACTTGCAATCTGCTGCATTTTTTTTCTGACAAAGAGAAATAAGTATAATGACTTTAAAAAAAGAATGATACTTCTTCATTTAGAACAATCAAATTCCAATGAAATCTTTTTTGCACCAATGAGAAGGGTCTTCTAACACAGGTAAGGATCTATCAGAGGATGAGGGGTTTTGGTCCAATTCACTAATTAAAAACATTTTCTTAGCTGACCTCTTTCTCTTGAGTCTTTTCTTGAACTTCGTTCTCACTGGATTGAGATATTCCCTCTTCTAAGGCAGCCATGTCTTCCAAGAGCTCATCTTCATTCCTGTTTGAAAAGACACAGAATAAACATTGGCCAGTAATCATCAAAGTGTACTAAATTCAAGGGCAATCCAGCCTCTATAATCAGTTCATTTGTATGAAAGCAGAAAAATAAGAGAAACAGAATGCCAACAGCTTGAAATAGATTGGGCCAATAGTAAGAAAGTTATGAATGTTAAAAATTTGGAATCGCTACATCTGTGCGAATCTCAAATTGGCAATTTGGTCAGGGGATTGTGACATGGTCACTGACAACTCTTCTCCTTGTTGTGTTCAAGGATATCATTAATTTCAGTTTTTCTCCCTAGCGCCCTCTCCCTTGGGCACTAATCAGGGTATATCATGGATAGCATATTATCATAGATCCTCTACAAATTTGTAATTTTGTGGGTACAAACAAATTGGAGAGCTGTCTGCCACTACACTACTGCCTTATGGGTATGGCATGTCGCTCGCTTCCCGATAACCAATGTTTAGGACGCTAACTGCCCCCTAGGTGCTCTTCTGATGCGCGTGCTGAAAAATGGGATTTATTACAAGGGCATTTACTTTAACTTACCAATCTTTTCCCTTTCCTTTCTTTTTCTGCAAAGAAACAAATACAGAATGTCCATCGTGTTAGATAAAGAACAGAAGCTATGAAATACCGGTAATAGAAATGGTAAAGCTTTGTATTGTAATAGAATAGGATGTTCAACATCCTCTTCGCCATTTCAATGAGAATCTCTATAAAATATTCTCTCAAATTGTCCCAGATATTTACTGGTGATCATTATCCTTCAATACCAAATTCACTATGTGCAACCCAATCTTGCTTAAAACTTCTTTGGTTTAACAGCCCATTTGAGACATATATTAATTTGATTACCAAACTAACTAACTAACTTATAGTCAGAAGTCCATACGCATGTCATATTGATCCTCTTTACCTTGCCCTTCTTGCCAGTTGACCGACTCTGCTCAGGCTCTGCATCGGCAGTTTCCATGGAAACGTCAGGTTCTGCAACCTTGGTTTCTTGGTGGTTTTCCACAGCCTCCTTGTCCTTCTTCTTTCCCCCTCCCTTACCGGCCGCTTCGATGGCAGCAACCTCTGCCATCAGCTCATCTTCATCCCTAGAAAGATAAGGACAAGAGATTGTATTCATCAAAGGGAACCAAAATCTTCATACTTTATTGTAAAGTTTAAGATGTTTGAATAAAATCAGTGAAAATTTGAACAAAATCGGGCAAGGAATAAGGAAGTTAAAGCTTTTTGAAATTTGATGACATCATTCGTGGACAACTCTCCATGCCTTTTGTACATCAAATTTCATGTTTTTCCTTCATTCTTGTGATTGAGATAATCTACTCCCCTGAAAGCAAGGTATAGAATGCAAAATGATATTCTACTTCACATGTTATAAAGTCGGATCCAGAACACAAATAAATACAAAGAAAACGAAAGAATTGTTGAATTTGAAGTATAAAGGCATGGAGAGTTGTCCACAAATGACGCATCAAATTGAATATCGCCCTCTAGTGACTAGTCATTTAAAAAAGCTTTAACTTCCTTATTCCTTGCCCAATTTTGTTCAAATTTTAACTGATTTTATTCAAATATTTTAAACTTTACAATAAAAGTAACTTAGTATGAAGGTTTTGGTTCCCTTTAAAGGCAGAATGTGCAGCTCAGAGTTTTCTTATCTTTTAACTTAATCAGTTTTCCCTCCTCAAATTGGCAACTAGGAATTTTATTTTTCATTCCATTACAGTTTGAAAAAAATAAAAAATGTATATCAAAGGAACCAATATGAAAGAAATTGGCAAATTTGACTGAATAATTGCCAATATGTTTAATGTGTAATGTACATGTATGGGGCTCAAAGAGTCAATCTTTCTTTTGAACAAAAATATTTAAAATTCAGTAAATTAAACAAAATAAATTAACTAAATGAATTCAATCATGAAGCACAAAAATTACAAAGTAATTTCATCCTGACAGGATTTTTGTTTGATCATTCCAGTAAAGAATAGTGATGATTTTACAGGATGAAAAATTCTGTCAAGTAATGTGGCAGTTAGGGCGCACACAAGAATATGACACAGCGGCGTAACGCTGCTGAATCCAAAGTATCAGTCTACATCCCGTCGGGGGATACAATAATTCTCATTAAGCAGCAAGAAACAAAACAAAATCATAATATGAACTAAGGATACTCACATGCCTTTCTTTCCTTTCTTACCACCTCTCTATATATAAAAAGAAAGAAAGAAAAAACAGTCCATTAAAAAAAAAAAAAACAGTCCACAGACTGATTGTCTAAAAGGGGAGGAGGGAGGGGGGGGGGGGGGGGGCTCATGTTATATTTTTTTCCAAAGGGGTTCATGATTTTCCCCTGATGTGAATTCTTTGAGAGAAGGTAACCTACCAGACACATTACATTCAATGTCAGTGTTCCAATTGTTCCAAAATTTCAACTGTGCTTTAAATACGTGATGCTAGGTTTATATTATGTTCCCTGCGGCTACGAAAATCATGTTTCAGGCCTCTGTTGACAAATCAGGATGGATGTGAGACAACGCAGGGGGACGGAATGGGCAAACTTGACAGGTTGGATTGCCGTGCCAGATTTTTAAAATTGTAAACAAATTTGCCACGGCAGTCACTGTGCGTATGAGAAACCTAGTACCAGTGGGTCATAGTAAAATGGGGTTAATGCAACAAAATTTGACAGTACCTAATAACAAAACTTGGCAAGACCTAATGCTAGGTTTACATTATGTTCCCAGGCAGACAAAGCGCCCATTTGCCAAAAACGGAATGCACCGTAGGATTTTGGCAAATTTTCCTCTGTATTCAAGTTGTTGGGTCCTACTTGCAATTTCACACAAAACAACAGGCACTGACTGACAGAAGGTCCTTTGATATATCTATCCTATGATAAATACTCTGTGAGGTAGGGAGATTATTTCTGAGGCATTTAAAGAGTTAAAATTTGTTGGTTCGTGTCTCCTTAGATCAAGATTAGTATCTTGATCTACGGAGTAGTTGCTACAACCGGCGGAGTCAGACACGTTGCCCCGAGGTGCCCCCACTTAACACAATTATACAATAACAATTAACATTACATTTAATTAAGAGAACGAAGCGATTAGTAATACTCTCATGCTACGGGGAAAAAATATTATATATATTTAAAATTAAACTTGACTTTGGACCGACCTTGAATCAAGCACATGATTTAGATTTGAGTAGAATACCAGTCTCTCTGTCATGGGGCCAATCGCTCACAGCCCCTACTTTCCACTGAACTGTTTGTACTCACCGTCTTCTTTTTGCCTGCTGGTTGTGGGGCAGGCTCTGAGGTCTCGGGTGTCTCCTCGGCTGCTTGTCCAATTCCAGACTCAAGCTCCAATGCAGCCATATCTTCCATCATCTCATCTTCATCACTAAAAAGAAAAAAAGGGACAAGATTGTATTCATGAAGGCAGACTGTGCAAATCAGTTTTCTTATCTCTTAAATTAACCTATTTTCCACTCCATCAAAGTTTGAAGACATAACAATTTTAATAAAGGAACCAATATGAAAGAAATTCTATATAAGTCAGAGCTCAGGAGCATGCCATCAAATGGTGTGCTTATTCTATAACACATGTTTCATTGGGATGTCCAAGAAGTTAGACTTATGACAGTTTTGAGGAAACTGACCCCAATGTGGCATTCTCGGTAGAAATTGCATCTATTTCATTCTTTATACAACTACTATTAATAACAGAAAAGAATCTTGTTTAAAATCAACATTTAGTTAATATACACATGTCTGACTGTTGGGCTCAATAGATATAAAAAATGCCCTATAGGTTCACAAAAATACTCTAGTAATATTCAAATGTTACTGCATGAAAGTCTTTTCCACATTGATATTTAGATATATCATAACCCTGACATGCAAACGTAAAATAATTATGTTAGTCTTGAACAGAAGTCTAGCTACATGCAAAGATAAAATATGGAGGAGGGAGAGGAACATAAGAGACATAGAGAGAGAGACAGGAAGAATGGGAGATAGAGAGAGAGAGAGAGAGAGAGAGAGATACATTTCCATGCTAAATAATTCTCATTAAGCGGTCAGAAACAAATCAAAATTAAAATATAAACTAGGGATACTCACAATCCTTTCTTTCCTTTCTTACCACCTCTCTATATATAAAAAGAAAGAAAAAAAAGAAGTTTATTACAAAGTCTGATTGCCTAAAGGGAAAGGGGGTGGAGGGCTCATGTTTAAAAACCATGCAAATCCATCACATGAATCTGGATAAACCAATGTAACATTTTTTTTTCTCCAAAGGGGGTCGTGATTTTCCCTTTATGTGGATTCTTTGGGAGAAGGTAACCTATCAGACACATCACATTCAATGTCAGTGTTCCAATTGTTGCAAGATTTCAATTGAGCTTTAAATACATAACTTTCCTGTGCAGGGAATGACTGACAAAAGGATTGCTTTCTGCAACTCAATGCAGACCTGCCAACCTCTGGAGTTCAAAACTGTATTCTTTAGTCCCAAAAGTTGTATTTTACTGACAAAAGTTGTATTCTTGAAAATAAACATGGATTGTTACGCGGATCAATGCCTCTTACAGTTTCTACCTACAGGAAGATTTTTTTTTATTGATCACTGGTTGAATATGCATTATTTCGTCATGACTGGTGTGTTCCATGAACCGATGAACATCCCCAAATTGCCGATGTGAGATGTTTGTAGGATACTTTACAGGACAGAATGGACATTTTGCCATTGAAAATGGCGGACGCACACACAAAATATTAATTAAAAAAAAAGAAGAAAAAAAGTTTTTTTGTTTTTCGTATTTGCTTCCAAAAATCGTACTAAATACGACTAAATCGTACTGGTTGGCAGGTCTGTCAATGGCTTTGCAAAATTAACAATTTCCTTCTCGATCAGCTCCATGACAATTGTTTTTAAACACTGGTATAGATTAATCTTGAGCTGGAAACAGTCAAATAGCCTGGCTCTAAACAGGCCAAGTAATCTTGAAGCCTTTGGTATACACGTATCTATCCAATGTTATATACACTGTGACACATGGAGATTATTTTTGTGGCATTTAAAGAGTTAAAATTGATTTTGGACCGACCTTGAATCCAGCACATGCTTTAGATTCAAGTAGAATACCAGTCTCTAGTCCTGTCTTCATTAGCTCGAGATTGTCAAATAGCCTGCCATTTCCATTTCTAGACCAAATATCCACTTAAAGATAAACTTGAGTTCTGGTAAAAAAAAAAAATGAATTCTCACAGAATCTAACGAAACTAACACTGAATGTTCAAGATAACAGATAAATGTCATGTGCTAAACAATTTTGGAAGAAAATGTATACTGGCTGAGTAATGAGCATAGAAAGATAAGGAAATTAGGGTAGTACTAGCCCCGACACCATGTGTCTTGTCCCATATACATCTTTCTGTGTAAGTGATTGTTACTTTACCAAGACTCTGCCAAATTTATGATGATTTTGATGACTCCAGAACCTTGCATTACACACCATTACTTACATGCTATATGATCAACTTTTCTGATCCATTCCACACCTTTTCTTTCACAATGCAATCGCATTACCAGAACTCAAGTTTATCTTTAACTGCGACTTCGGAATGATAAAGCAAATTAACTGGATAATTTACGATCGGGATAGTTCAAATAGCGGGATATTTGGCAATCTCGAGCTGATGAAGACGGGCCTAGCGTGTCATTGGGCCAATCGCCCACTGTCCCTATATTTTCCACTGAGCTGTATGTACTCACCGTTTTCTTTTTGCCTGCTGGTTGTGGGGCAGGCTCCGAGGTCTCAGGTGTCTCCTCGGCTGCTTGTCCAACTCCAGACTCAAGCTCCAATGCAGCCATTTCTTCCAACAGATCATCGTCATTTCTATTAATGACACAATTCAGTTTTTTTCTTGACATCATGAAATTAAATAAAGAACAAATCAATTTATAGAAATAAAATTCACAATTTTGGATTAATACTAAAAAAGTAAAAACAAACCAACAAATATATGGAAATGAACAATCATTATCAATTAAATTGGATTAGTGGGGCATAATAATCCAGAAAGGACAAAATTTACAATCCCAGCAGATTGATGAATTACGGTTTGATAAATCACTGGACTGTGGATCACAAGGTCATCGGTTTGAGTCCTGCCGCTGCACTAATGCCCTTTGGCAAGACATTAATCTACATTTGCCACACTCGACCCAGGTGATTACTACGGTAATCAAAAATACATGGGTAATATACTGTATAGCATGCAGAATCAAAAACATTGAATACATAAGAAGTAGATGAGAACTCACAATTTGTTCCTCTTGTTCTTTTTCTTGTCCTTTCCCTGAAAAAAACGAAGATATAAAAACATGATTTTGATTGAACAAACATAGAGTTACACCCCTGTTGTCTCACTGTAGAAATTTAGTAGACAATCAGACACACAATTATGAGAAAGTCCAAACTAAAAAGTGATTTAATTTGTGGAAAATAATTGCACATGGTCAGTAATAGAAGAATTGTGCTGCTTTTTGCCAAAAGCTTCAAAAGTATGACAACTTCTAAACTTTAAAGACTGCTGAATTCAGCAGAAGTTGCTTCTATCATTAGAAGACTTCCAAATTCTTTGTTTGACCATTCTTTGTTTGATCTGGAAGCAATACTTCAAGTCCAATTGAACTTCCTTATCACATTTTTTACAACAATCTTGACAAAAGGGCATAGGCATCTAGAGGTAACTTGTTCGAGCATACCTAACATTTTTTATAAAACCAAGTTTGAGTTCAGACAATGATATCAATTTCACAACAGCCAAAGGCCTGCCAGGCCTGTAATCTTGAATCATCCAATGGTGCTGTCACAAGCTTTGACACAATACGGTTCGCATAGCTCTATCACAAACAAATGCAAACAAATTCCAACACATAGCATCATCATTCACAGTTATGATATTGACATATCGATAAAGAATTTGTTTCTTCTTCAAAATATGTGGTTATAATATTATTTTAAAACTAAGAAAGATCTTATTTCACTCTCTATTCTATTTGTGCATTTGTTTCAATCAACTTTCTTGTTATTGGCTCTTCTTTGTTCCTTAAATGGAACAAAGAGAATCTGAATACATCTGGACAATTGGATTTGTAAAATCATACAGTGCATCTTGTATTGAGCCTTGGTTGAAGTGAATTAACCACTTTTGTGATTAAATTGTTACACTGGCATTTATACAGGTATGTAGACTACAGAAAAAACAAAAATACCAACTTTCAAAGAACATGGAAGCCATGCTCAATTTAGAAAAATCCTGACAAGAAATAGAAGTGAATTTTGTTGGTCATTTACCTTCTTCGGTTGCTCAGATGCAAGTTCTTCTGATGCATCAGGGATCATCTCATTCTTCAAACCGCTCTCATCATCCCTAAAAACAGAAAAGAAGAAGATAATTTAGTTGCACACTTGAATTTAATCATTACAGTGCGTCCAAGAAAAAACAAAACATAATTATTGATGTTTTATCATAACTCAAATACTCAATCACAATAATAATTAATAAATGACACATATTTGTAAAGCTTAGATCCTCCTCTTTTATTTGATGTGACCAATATGGTGCATATTTCATGCATGAGTGATTAAAAACAATATGATGAGAGGGTACCAAAAATTCATTTGGCGGGTGGTATCTGAATTTCAAAGAGATAATTACATTTCTAGAAAGTTCATTATCTGCCCTTTCATATGACACCTCAATTAGTAAAAATGAGCCAGGAATAACAAAGTTCTGTTTGTTAAAAGTAATGCTTGCATTGCATTTCCACAATCTGATTTAACATCTTCGTTTTCGCTGGCTGTCTGCCGTAGCAACAAACAGAGTTGACAAAAGATTTAACTGTTTCGTTGACGATCAGCCAAGCACAAAGAAGACGAAAGATTTGTCGACGAAAAAGGGGCATCCATCAGATTTTGATAGGGGCATTTATGAAAAGGTCCCTTATTTAGAAAGTAAAAGGGGAATGTATCATTGTTAAAAGGAAAATTATCAGAGGTTAAAAGAGTCACTGACCAGATATGAAAGGGGGCACTATTGAGTATGAAAAAGGGGCACTTAAAATAAAGGAAAATGAGCATTAGTTGAAAGAAAAGGGGACAGATTTCAATAGGGGCATTAATGTGGGGTGAAAGGGGGAAGTGGCTCTTATGTCTTAGTAAAAAGAAAAAGATGCACATGTAAAAAAAATGGGGTACTTATCAGAGATGAAAAAGGGTTAATTATGAGAAGGGGAAGGGGCACTTATAAGAAGAAAAAAGAGCATTTATTAGAAAGGAAAAGGGGCTTGGCAAAATAAAAGGGCAATCATCAAAAATAAAAAGAGCACTTTTCAGGAGGGGAAGGGGCACTGTCAAAGTAAAACAAGCATCTCTCAGATTTGAATAGGGGGATTATCGAAGGTATTTATCTGAAATAAAAAGGAACACTTTTAATAGAGGAAAAGGGGCATTTATGAGAAGGGGAAGGGCCTGTTTTAAATGGTGGCACACATGACAAGGGAAAGGGGCACAAGGGGAAGGGGCACTTCCTCAAAGTATCATTATCCCCTTCTCGAGGGTCACCTCTGGATTTAAGAATCAGATAATTAGATATAGAGATCTAGACTAACTAGGGTCTAAATAAAAACAAAACTAACAAGAAAGAATATTCACTAGATTCCAGCGAAATTCCATAGTAAGGCGCTCAGTCTCAGGCCGCAAGAAAGTTGACAAATGGCAGTTTTTTATCAAAGAATTCGCCAGGCATAGGCATTGATTTAAATTTCTGATTTTATTGCTTGTAATGTCTAATAGCCTACGTAACCTTCTAATCTATGCAGGTTATTTTGACGTCATTCATTAAGTGTGAATTTCTGTGATGGATAGTCTACAGATCTTTCGCACAAACGAAGATCGCCTTTGTAAACGCGGCCAGACGCGTCCGCAAAAATAAGGATCGTCTGCATTTTCCCTGACGATTCTGATTTCCTATCCGACTAGGATAGTAACATTGAAAACGTCAGAAAAAACAGAATCACCCATCCATTTATGCCCATCATTGAACTCATTCTGTTCATAATCATGCCGCTTTTCATTTCATTTCATTTCTTGCCCGGCATAGCACACGGTCTCACAAACTCGGTAGGCCTAGCCTAGCTCACTCACGTTCACTCAACAATGTGACACCGACTCAGTGCAGTGCATCACGATCACATTTATCAATATCATGTTCGACAAAATGCAACGGAATTATAAATAATACTTACGAACTCAGGTTAACTTCCTGCTTAACCTTTCCTTTCTTCGATTTCCCCATTTTAAAAGTAGGCCTAAAGCATCAGAGTATAAGAATAGTGAACAGCTGGAGTATGTACTATGCTATTACAAAGTACACATGTAAAAAGCAATTGCAACATAGGTCTAGAATAAAGTTGTACGGATCCGGAGCGCACATGACGTTCGCGCGCGCCGGGAGAAGGCGGCGCGTAGCCGAGTTGTTTGAGGCGACTTGGAAAAGTGCTAGGCAGCCAACAAAACCAGCCCACAACAAGCCAATCAGTGGCCAGCACATATTTATATCGGATACATAATTAGGTGAGGTTGTGACTGAGTAATAGTCATCATCAGAAATTTGGGGAAATGATAGCTAGAAAACGGTGGAATGTTTCTGGAAAACCGGCGGATTCAGGGGGGGGGGGGCGTTAAAAAAAAGGGAGATAAAAAAGAAAAGGGAAGTGTGAAAGAAGAAGAAAAGAGGGAGGAGAGAAAAAGGGAGAGGAGAAAAAGGAGGGGGAAATTAGGAAGAAAGGGAAAGAAAGAAAGAGAGAGAGAGAGAGAGAGAGAGGATAGAAAAGGCGGGAAAGGAGAATAATGAGAAGGGAAAAGAAAGAAAGGGGGATGATATTATAAGAAGGTGTTTTTTTTTACCTGAAAGGGGCGGGGGAGAGGCGCGCAGTTCTGCAGTGTGCATAATATGTGGTCTCTCTTGCCAGGCGTGAAGCCCCCCCCCCCCCACCCATAAAAAAAAAGCACAGGCAGAACCAAAAAAGGAGATGGAAAAAAGGGGAAAATATAAGATAATTAAACAACGATAGAAGAGAGATGCAAGAGCATGAGGAATTGCATTTCTTTAAAAATAATAATGGGACAACAACCAGGGACGTCGTTCAAAGGGGGGGGGGGGGGAGCTTCGGGTGCGATACCTCCCCCCACCTGTCAGGGTATTGTCGGTAAAATTGCGCGGCTGTCGGGAAAAATGAGAGGGAAAAGGAATAAGATAAGAAAAAAAGAAAAGGAAAATAAAGGAAAGAGAGAGAAGAAATAAAGAGAAAAATGAAAGAGAGGAAAGAAAGAAAAAGAAAGAAAAGAAAGAAAAGGGGAAAAAAGGAGAGAAAAGGTAAATAAAAGAAACGGGGTTGAAAGAGAGGAGAGAAAGGTGGGGGGGGGGGGTAAGAGCCTGAGAGAAGAGGGGTGCGAGTAATAGAGAGGGGGATGCTGGGTGGAGTCACCACGTCGAGGGGCAAGAAAGATTCACAAAGATAATTATGCTGCTGTGTCGGGTCCGCTGTGTTGGTATTCTTGCTCGATCCTCGTGTACTATCAATGCAGAAGTTTGACTTGTAGTCGGTGAGATGTATTCCCCCCCCCCCCTACGAACTGTGACTTTTGATCGGACAAAGAAAATTTTTTGAAAATTCAGACAATGATTAAGAGTTGGTATAACGGAGCGTCGTCTTTCTCTAGTAATTTAATGAATCGTCAAAGCTTTCGCGCTTTGCGCTGGAGTGGGAAGCTGAATTCAGACAAGGATTAAGAGTCGAAAACAGTACAAAGAATCGTCTTCCTCCTCTATTGAATGAAACGTCACTATTCAGGGGCAGCCGAGCGACTTCCAAAGTGGGGGGGGGGGCATCAAGAAAAAGGGGCACCTTCTGGAGAGAAAAGGGAACCTACAAAGGGAAATATCAAAGCGAAAATAAACAATTTGTTTAGACATTGTTATATATTCCTACATTGTGATTACAATTATCAGGGATGATTCAATATTTCTTTCACTTTATACACCATACAAGATATTGCTAAGCATAAAATTGTTTTTAAGATGTATGAGGTCGCAATGCGAAAATTTACATCTTATAGAGGAAAAAACCCAATCTTAATGGAGTTATAACTTATAAGCACATTCTCATAACGGAAAACTGAAAAGACCTTCGAAAGTAATATAAGCATATCATCTATAGATGCGTGCGAGCGTAGCGAGCGAGCTTTGGGGGAAATTGCTCCTAGTCGCTTGAAATTAGCTAGGGCGCGTTTAATAATGAGAGGAAAAGGGGACGTAGTTATCAGGAAAAAAGGAGCATGTGCCAAAGTACAAAAATAATTATCAGAGGTGAAAATGGGGCACTTCTTACATTCTCAAAAAAAAGCACTCGCCAGGGATGAAAAAGTCAGTCATGAGAATAGAAAATGGGCATTTTTTTGACGGAAAAGGGGCCCCCATCAGATTTTAAAGGGGCATTTATCGGAGGTGAAGGGGGCACTTATCTAAAGTCAAAAGGAGTAACTTCTCGTACCTGAGAAGGGTCATTTACCAGAGAAGGGGATTTTTTTTTAATGGGCACTTATTATTAGGAAAAGGGGCACTTATTAGAAAGGAAAAAGGGCACATGTGAAAATATAATATGCGCTTATTCGAGTTAAAATGGGGGTAGTTATTAAAAGGGGAAGGGGCACTTCTTACAAAGGAAAAGGGGCACTTGTCAAAGGAAAAGGGGCAATGGTCAAAGTAAAACAGGCACGTACCTCTCAGATTTAAATGGGACAATTATCAGAGGTGAAGGGGGCACTTAACAAAAGTGAGAAGAGGCACTTCTCGTACCTAATTAGGGGCACTTACTAGAGATTAAAAAGGGCACTTATGAGAATGGAAAATGGACACTTTATTGCAAAGGAAAATGGGAACTTGTCGAAGGAAAAGGGGCACGTGTTTAAATAAAAGGGGCACTTATCAGAGTTGAAAAGGGTAAGGGGCACTTTTATAAATTAATAGGGGCATTTGTCAAAGTAAAAGGGGCACTATTTCAATGTAAAAAGGGTACTTCCTAAAAAGTTAAAGGGGCACTTTTTGTAAAAATGGGGGGGGGGGGAGAGGGCACTGTGACCCTCTGCCCCCGGGAAGGTCGCCTCTGGTCAAAATTTATGCGCTTCGCGCGGTAGGGGAGGGGGAACTGAATTCATACAAGGATTATGAGTAATAATTCAATGAAACGTCAAAGCTTCCGCGCTTTGCGCGGAAAGGGAAACTGAGTTCAGACAAGGATTAAGAAACGAAAACAGTACAACGAATCGTCTTCTATCTTTAATAATTAAATGAATCGTCAAAGCTTACCTGCCATGCGTGGGAGGGGGGAACTGAATAAAGACAAGGATTAAGTGTAATAATTTAATGAAACGTCAAAGCTTCCGGGGAGGAGAAAATGAATTCAGACAAGGATTAAGAAACGAAAACAGTACAACGAATCGTTTTTCATATAATTATTTAACCTCGGGCAATTTTGTGCCCCCGGTAAGAAATTCTTGGATCCGCCACTGAGTGCCCAGGGGCGCATCCACGTAGCGATTTTTCCGGCCCGGGCCCTCCCCCTTAGCCCCCCAAACGATAAAAAAAAAATAGGATAATAACGTAAAGTTTACCTTTTTTAAAACACAAAACAAAAGTGCCCCCCCCAAAAAAAAATAAAAAAAATAAATAAATAATAATGATAATTGATTCAACGACCGGCTGAGTCGGCGCTAAATTTTTCCTCAAAAACTCTATCAAAAAGGGAAGAAGAAAGGTGCTCTCCCCCCCCCAGCTTAGTCGACGCTAAATTTTGAATTAAGATTTGGCACCCCCCCCCCTTACATCGCCGGCTGGATCTTCTGCAGGCGCGGATCCACGGGGTGGGGGTTGACGGGTTATTACAAAAATAAATTCTTACGAAGAAGGCCAAAAAACCAAAAAAGTGGTCTTACCCACCTCCTCCCCCTCCCCCCCCCCCCGGTTATTTACCGGCTGGCTGAGTCGGGGGAAAAATTTCCTGAAAAAGTGGTCAAAAAAGTGCCTCCTACCCCCCCCCCCCCATCCCACCCCCACTTATTTACCGTTGGTTGAGTCGCAACTAATATTTTCTCACGGATTGGGCCCCCCTCTTCCCGCCGGCTGGATCCGCCACTGTGAGTGCCTATAGTAAGAAGTTAAAATAGTGGGAGGCTTCAACCCATTGGTGGTTAAGTGGGACCAGAGGTCCAGTTTTACTAGCCCACTTCTTTGAAATTTCACTTTATCTCAATCTGGAAAAGGAAGGTATCGAGATAGAAACGCGGAAAATGCCTGATTGCTCGAAAAAAGGGGGTTGTTCCTATAGCTGGAAAACGTTTGGTGGAATAGTGGAAGGATATGCCCCCTCATTCAACCCATGGTGATTAAAGCCGCTCTAAAGTGTTGGGAGCTCCAAATTCGCCCCACATTTGACACAATTTTACCTTTTTTTTTGTTCGAGGGGGGGGGGGGGGGGGGTTGTTGAGTTAAAACAAATAGTGCTCAGGGTGACAGTATCAGAGATTAAAACAGGGCACTACTCGCACCCGAAATATGATACTTACCAGAGTTGAAAAAGGCACTTATAATGGAAAACGGGCATCTATTGAAAAGGGGCTCCTATCAAATTTGAATAGAAGCATTTATCAGAGGTAAAAGTGGGCATTTATGGAAAAAAGGAAAATGGACATCTATCCAAATGAAATAGGGTACTTATTATTAGAAAGGGAAAGGGGCACGTATAAGAGCTGAATAGGGTTATCGTACCTAATGATACTTCGAATGGAAAAGGGGCTCTTATTAGGCAGGAACTGGGGCACCTATCAGATGTTAATAGGGGAATTTATAAAATGGGTATTTATCAGAAGGGGAGCGGGGGCAATTATTAAAAAGGAAGAGGGGCGCTTGTCAAATTAAAAAGGGTACTTATCAAATTTGAATAGGGCCAAATATCAGAGGTTAATTGAGGGGACACTTATCAGAAAGTGGTTAGGGGGATAAAGGGGCACTTATCATACCTGAAAAGGGGCACTTAACTGAGATTAAAAAGGAGACTTATGAGTTATGAGAACGGAAAAGTGAAACTCTTTGCAAAGGAAATTAAGGGGCACTTAATATCGAAGGACAAATTGCATAATTCTGATGGAGGGTATATAACAGCCTTCTGGAAGTGGATTATTCCCTTGCGCTGTCATTGACTGCTGAGCCTGGTCAATGTGGGACTAATAATTAAAACTGGACCTCTGTCCTCTGGTCCTACTTTTCATGGGGCGAATCCTCCCACTATCCCACCATAGATTTTTCAGAAACAATCTACCGTTTCCCAATTTTTTTTTTTTTTTTTTTTTTTTTTTTTTTCCTGTTTTTATTGTTATTTTTGAAAATTTCCCAAATTTCAACCTTCAAGGATGGAGCTGATCGGATTACTGGGCGATTTTTAGGCGTTGCACATCTCGCGTAACCGTGTATCCGATATAAATGTGTATTGGCTAAAACGTAGCGCTACATCGGCTGGCTTGTTAATGATGTGGGCTGGCTTATTTTGTTGGCCAACGACCCCGGAAGTCTTATTCGTCGCTAAAAGAAAGGTAACACTACACGTGAGTGACTGAAGTAGTCAGCTGTCCACGCTTGCGAAGCCTCAAAATGAGCGAGAAAAACAGAAATAAACTCCCGAATAATCTGCCCCAGTTGCAGAATGTCATCAAACGGGATCCAGAATCATATACTGAAGAAGTGAGTATTTTTGTATCTATATGTCGTTATGTTACGATGGATAAAATATGGGAACATAGTAAGTGTAGCACCACGCACGTAGTTTTATGTAGACGGTTTGCTTCGCATGCCTTGTGTAGAGTTTAAAGGGACTTGGTAATATTGTGCAGATGAGAGAAAATGGTGCTAAGGACATATTTGAATAGATTGAGGCGATAGTTCAGAATCATATCCAGACTTTGACCTGTAACTCTGGTGTGGAGATAACCTACTAAAATATACCCAAGAAAATCAAGTAAATATTAATCAAATGTTTAAATAAATAGAGTAAAACCGCCAAACTTCGGACGTTGCCAAACTTTGGACAAAAATTACTTCAACGGCTCGAACGCAAAATATGAGCCTAGCTCAGGCGGGTAACTTGCATGCATTTGATACTACTACTAACCTACATCGTTAGTACAGAAAGTTAGGGCAGGTTGCCGTCTGCAAAACTCACAAAAAAACATCGAATTCAGAGACAGATTTCAGGGCAGCATCCCACGAAACCGTCGTAAGCACAAGTCCAACGACATCCCATTGAAATGCGTGTATTAATAGGGTGTCTGATCGCGCACCCAATGTTGTGTGCTAAAACCCTTCCCATAGAGATTGTACGCTTCCCTATGTGGTCTACGTGCATTGCGCGACCATCCAAAATTGGTCAATGATTTTATGAAAAAATTTGAAATTCAAACCTTTATAACAAATGATCCTGAAGGTGAAACTCAATAAATGAGGTGTCATATGAAAGAGCAGGTTTTTCTCCATATTCCCCATAGGGGGCCACCCCCAGAATTCTAAAAATATCTTGGTCAAAACAGCGATTGAAATGTTGTTTGCATCCTAGCTTCAAAATTTGCCACTTTCCTGAGCTGCGCCCCCGCGGCTTAAGCAGGGCTAGACGTAAGGATAATATCCAGATGCTTTTTTTTTCGCTAGCCCCAAGGGATCATTTGTTATAACAGTTTGAAAATACCCTTCCCACATTTTTGGAATCAGCTAATTAGGGAGGCGTGAGCTCCGCTCAGTCCAAACCATGGTTACATCGTAACATGTGCGCTTATAGTGAATGAAAGTATGGGTGGCCGATTCTCGCCATAGAACCCGGAAGTGAATACACGTTGTAGTCAATGGCAATATCACGGAGACAACGTGCGTTGTCTCCGCGATATTGCCATTGACTACAACGTGTATTCACTTCCGGGTTCTATGGCGGGAACGGCCACCCATACTAGTCAATGGCACATATCGCGGAGACAGCGTGGCTCAAGCTTGCAAGTCGCGCATTGGCTGAGCAACTTGCGTACGATATGCATACGCTTGCATATCGCGCGATACAGCTGTTTGGCTAAATTTAGCAAAACAACATAACTCTGCGTGTACGTCTTTTTCGTCGATTCTGAGCAAAATGCTATGAATATTTCAGCGTTTTGAAGGGGCTGTATCTTTTGATAGAAACATCGGCGAGACTTGAAATTTGAAATGTATTATTTTGATTACATTTTTAATTCAAATATCAAACAAAAATGGTGAAAAACGATCCCAAATTGAAAATTGAAAAATCGTTCAGACACCCTAGTATTAAGTTTAACACGCGTTTCAATGGGATGTCGGTGAACTTGTACTTATGACAGTTTCGTGAGACGCTACCCAGGTTACCTGGATTTTTACAGTCCCTTAACAGGGGAGTTAAGGTATAGAGCCTCCAATATATCGATTACAAACAAATCCTTGGCATATTTCAGGTGGATTCTGCCAAAATTATGGGAGCTACTTTACTGAGATACTTTTTCACTATATCGCGAAAATTTTCTAATGGCGGCCGTTACCACGGACCTAGGGGTACTATACAGGTACCCCTACCAGAAGATGGCGCTCTTCCAAACTTCGGACAGGCAACGTTGAGTGTCATTTTGACTACGAAAAAATAGCGCTTTCGTAAGATTTTAGCACCAAAATATTGTGTGAGTGTTGGCCTTTCTGATAGTTATACCTAAAATAAATCTACCCAAAACGAGAAAATAATATTTTTTTCATGAAATCAACGCAGTCAAACTTACCCCCGTCGAATGATTTTTGATCCGGTTTCCAAACCTCCGATGAATGCGCACTTTAGCGCGCGCTATACGTGCGCTATGCGCTATACGTGCGTTATACGTACGTCCGAAGCTTGGCATGAAAAAAGGTTCGGCGGGTAAGTAAATATTTCTAGTTTTCCATTTCCTTTACTAATTTTCTTTTAATGACATACATAAACAGTATTTGCACAATAATAGTATATTTGATCTTTCAATAATTAAAAAAAGAATTTAATGTTTTCCCCTGTTTTGCCTTAAATGTCAGAAGTTTGGCGGTCTTACTTTAAATGGTCACGATTTAAAAGTTGTTACTAGACTATGTTTCTTACCTTTTTGTGCCAATTTTCTTATTTTTTGGGGGAGTATTTTTCGGAAAAAACATTGATATTAGTATACACTTTCTCACAAGTTGCACTGCATAATGATACAGATGATGGGTTGTGGGCGGGCACGCCTCAATGAAGTTGTCTCGTTAGTTACGCGGTAGATGTATGCACTTTTATTGTGCAGCGGTTTGCCTTGAAACCTGTGAGAAAGTGATAGACTCTGATACTAATATCAACGTTTTTCTGAAAAATACTCCATATAATTTGTAAACACACAGTTTGACTCCATTCCTTGTGCTAAAAAAGATATCATCCCAAACTGATATGATCCTAAACTGATATGATCCTAACAATTGCTTCTTTTGCCATACAGTTTCTTCAGCAGTATCGACACTACCAATCCAATGTGCAAGTGTTTCAGCTGAAGCCCTCACAGTACTCCAAGAGTCTGGAAGAACTCACCATGTTTCTGAGTCAGGTAAGAACTTTTTCCTCCATTATTTCAGGTCTCACAAATGATTTAGAATATATAAGAAAAATTATATTCCTGAATGTCTATTTTTAATAGCAGGGGAATTCTCTTTAAAAAAAAATTAAATTTAATTCAAATCATTTATTTCCAAATTCCAACATCAATCAAAACAATGTGTAAAAAACAGTCAATGGGCAATAAAAACATTATAAAAATATGACATTTCAATCAAACGATTAAGAAACAAGGTGAAGAAAGGAAAAAAGTAGACTGTATAATACATAATTCAGTATTGAGAGACTACATAAAAAACATAAGTGGATGATAGGAAAATGGTGAACACAATGAAAGCTTGTTAGAGTGTGTCCACCTAGTTTATGTATTTGTTTGTCTTTACATTATTATTATAACATTTAGAGATTGGTCAAACAATACTTTGTGATGTTCAGGTGACTAAGAATAATCCTAACATTATATATTGCCTTTCCTTTGCTCTTTACCAGGTTGCTCACTGTTACCCTGAACACCTATCAGACTATCCTCAGCAGCTCAAAGACCTTCTGCAGACCTACAGCACTGTGCTTGATCCTAACATGAGGATGGTAAGATACCCAGTAATGGCAGGGCTTGCCCTTAACTTTTTTGGAGGTGGCCAGCAGGGCCACTTGGGTAGGAGATCTGGGTGGCCAAATGGATTTTCAGGTGGCCCCACTTTTATGCGTTATTAAATAATGCAAATGTTTAATAAAAAAAATGCATAAATTATACATGTTAAAAGCAGCATGAGCTGCATTTAATAATGAAAGGTGAGTGACTCTTTAGACTCTCATTCCAAATCCTCTCTCTTTGTTTCTATACTTCTGTCTCAACTTCACTTCAATGTTTTTCTCCCTTTCTCCTTGACTATCATGCATCACAAGGACCCCCTCCCCCTTAAGTTAGGATTGTACAGGGCACACAAGGCGCCAAACTTCTGCTTTTCTTTGAGCTCCAAGTTCTGTTGGAAGATATAAAATTGATTGTATATTTACTTTAGGCCCGAGTCGAAACGGGTCCCCGCCTGGGCCCCGACCGTCGAGCCGAAACCCGGTTTTTGGTTTTCGGGTATCGGGTTTTTCAAAATTAAATTTCACACTGATATTTTGAAATATAGAACTAAAAATATGGAATTCACAAACTTATATTTCAATATAATCAAATAAATATGCTTTAGAAATAAATGGATATTGTTTCAGTTGACGGTAGGTGTTTTTATCGCTCTAAAATTGAGGCTGCAAGAAATGAATCACGCTTCGTGGTACCGATCGAGTGCGTTCAGAAACGGAAGTGGAAATAGATCTGTGACCCACTGAAGACAGAGCAAGAAAATGCCACACACAAGACTAAAATATTGATCAGACTATTGCAATTAAATCGTAATACTAAAGGCATTAATTTAACTGTCAAAATATATCCACAACACAATGGTTTATCCTTGATAGTTTGATGAAGGAAAATAAATTAGAGCTCTTGAAATAACATCGAAGTGCCTTTCGTTCGTTCTAAAAAATGCGTGTATAACGGCAAGCAGAAGTTACGAGTAAAGCTTGATATGCACGTTTAAATCCCTACACCGTTATCCGACCTGATCGGAACAATAAGCATTAAACCAATTAAAAAACATCACGCAAGACTTTAAGGGACTCCAATTCAACAAAATTACCGTAAAATAATTATTTGCTTTGACAAATAATACTATAGATATTCATAATATCTTACAGAAATAATGATATTTCATGAGCTACGTACTCGATATCGAGTTCAGCTAGCCATCATTTTGAAATGAGACGTAGTTGTCATGCATGCAGCGCAGAATGCGGCAGCTTGCAGCTAGAGAGGGAAAAAAAACATCACGTAATAGTCACGTGAATATCACGTGATCTCAGGCCCGCGCTTTTTCCTCTCTCTTCTGCATACTGCCCTCTACAGTCTACTGCATGACAACTACGTCTCGTTTCAAAATGATGGCTAGCTGAACTCGATATCGAGTACGTAGCTCATGAAATATCATTATTTCTGTAAGATATTATGAATATCTATAGTATTATTTGTCAAAGCAAATAATTATTTTACGGTAATTTTGTTGAATTGGAGTCCCTTAAAGTCTTCCGTGATGTTTTTTAATTGGTTTAATGCTTATTGTTCCGATCAGGTCGGAACTTACCCGCCCGAAATCTCATGCGCAGTTTGTAACTGCGCAACAAAGAGTCGAGAAGCGTACTAGCTGTGCTGCAATGCGGATATCGACAGCTGCCCTATACGCGGTAGCATACTATGATAGCGCTACGCCTATGTACCGGCCGGGCCGGGGTGGCGGCGGCGGTGGCGGTGTGTACAGTACCTACGCGACGGCGTGCATCGTTTTTATAAAGTTAGTATGCGAAACGAAACATTTCCTTGTTTGATAGATCGGATTGCGTCGCTTGGAAAAGCTTGGAAAAATAAATGTCGCCTCGGTTTCGGGTAGATCTAAAGGTTAAACAAGTTGTTGATAAATAATTTATATATTACTGTCCAAATATTTGGGTGGCCAGCCGGGCCATCTAGTCGGTGATTTCAGGTGGCCCGACAGCGTTTCAGGTGGCCATTGGCACCGGGCCACCGCTAAATTCGAGCCCTGAATGGGATGTTTGATGGCATCGTGTATTATTTGTTTATTTGATTTATTAATTAATTTTTTATGCATGTTCACAATTTCACAATTCATTCAAGTTAACATCACATGAAAAAAATATGATATAACAAATCATTTTCAATTTTACAATCCATTTGAAATGACTTCACGTGAAAAGAATATAACAATGTTTTATCAAAGACAAGTTGCAACTAATGTACAGTTTAAAGAATGAAAACACAAAGGTGATGTGCTACCGGCCTTATTTTGTCTATGATAAATGGTCAGGATTAGGGTTGTGGGTTGGGCTACAGGCTTTAGGTGTAAGGTCTAGGGTTAGGGTTAGGAATAGTGTAACTTGTAAGGTTGAAATTAAAAATTGGATTAGTGGTAAACGATAGTTGATCATGGAGCAGTTGTTGGACGAGCACTGATGTGTCATTCAATGGGCCATTTTTGTAATGTAATCAAATTAAATGCACAAATCTTTATCAAAGTGCCTTATTACAAATTATTTCATTCACCTGTTATAAGTGATTGAATTTCAGTACCGGTAGTCAGAATGCGATTTGCATACATTACGTGCTGTTAGGTAGGACTAAGCAATAATGTTTGTCCTACCTAGCATTTTTAGCAACAATTAATGTATGCAATTCACACTCTGACTATTGAAATACAATTAGTCATAACAGGTGAATGAAATATAACTTTCCAATGCTCTTCTACAGACACTGTGTAAAGGTCTGATCTTGCTGAGGAATCGAGGGCTAGTCTCCCCGACCAGTCTCCTTGGGTTGTTCTTTGAGTTGTTCCGTTGCCAGGACAAGGTCCTGCGTAAGATGCTGTTTGATCACATCGTCAATGACATCAAACGCACCAATGCTAAACACAAAGACAACAAGCTCAATACAGTAAGTAGTGCTCAATTGTGTTCATTTATCTTTGTATAAAGAACTCCACGGAGAGTCGAAGAGACCAGTCAACACAATATATATTTTTGGGGAACTATTTTGGGTTCCATGCTTGTAAACTATTTTCAAAATATCCGAAGCTTTAAATATCCAAAGAGGAATTGTAAGTGTGAAATCTCTCTATGTGATGGTCAAAGTAGCTTTTTGCTAGACTACTCCTTTGTTTCTTTATATGCCTTAATCAATCACCTGTAATTAGGTGATTATGCCATCCAAATTTTGTATAACCATTTTGCCTCAAGTCTTTGATGCCAAACTTCTAAATTTCCAACAATGTGTTGTCACAGAAATGTCCAAGCTTTAGTATACACAGTGTGGACTTGTCATATGTTATTGTGAAATTTGAAATAGTTTTTAAACCCTATGATATATTGCCACAAATTTCCTTGGTGAAAAACATAATTGACTGCCCCTAGGATTGAAGATAAATACTGACTTCTTTCTCCCGATCTAATGCCACTTACTTTCCTGTCACATTGCTGCTATGTCGTTTTCTTACTTCATCTTTGTAACATTTTTTTCTTGTGTGAACAGACACTACAAAATTTCATGTACACGATGCTGACAGACAACAGCTCAGTGGCAGCCAAGATGTCTCTAGATGTGATGATAGAACTGTACCAGAAAAATATATGGTGAGTATGTCTAATTCCCAACTATTTAAAAAGAATATGTTTCTCTCTCATTGTTATGTTTCTTTCGCTTTGTCATTTAGACACTGCACAATGTGCATACATGTACATTGTGGGTGGGCAAGCCTGAATATTATAGCCAGGAAAATAATTCTTTTGAAAAGCGCTTAAAAACAGAGGTGCATTAAGTGCCATATAAACCCAGAAAATTAATCCAATACCATTCACATAAAGTTGACAACTGAATTATAAGTTTTTTAATATTTTGAGTATGTAGAAGCAAATTGATTTGTCCCAATATGTTTCTTGAAAAGGTGTCATTATTTAAGCTTAAATGTATAAGTATTCCAAAAAGGCCCAATTTCATCCAATCCAGCTTTAATTCTTGAGTTACAAAAAACAAAGCATCAAAGGTACATGGGGTATGAACAATTCAGTTGTTCCTCACCAAGCCGTAAATATAAGCTGAAGCCCAATGGAAATACTTACGCTAATCCTGCGCAACAAATTTTGAAACATTATTTACTTCATGACCTAATTGTTTGATAGTCTTTTCAATTTTTTTGCTTTCAAAAAGATACTACCTGTATGTTTCATGTTGTGTTTGATTTGTTTTGACAGGAATGATACCAAGACAGTGAATGTGATTGTGACAGCTTGCTTCTCTAAAGTTACCAAGGTAAGGACTCTCGCTTGGTGTTACGCTTGAGTAATACCTGAAAAACAATTGAAGGGCCGGAGCAGGCATTTTTGTGTCAGGTTAAATAAATTTATAAAGAGCAATAACTTCACAACATTTGAACGTCTGAACGAGCCTTATCCCACATGGTCATTATCACAGTGGCTTTGAAATTTTAATCAGCATATTGAAATAACATCATTGTTCATTGCATGGGGAAACAGCAAAGTGGGGAAGGGGGACTGGTGGCTCGAGTATGCTATAAACTACAGCTGAGGTGCTGTGATTCTGTGTGAACTGTCATGGCTCTGTCAAGAGAGTGTGTCATAGCTAGCAGATAGAAATAGTAGGGACACATGCATTCAGTGTGCAGGCTCCAAGGTCGATTCATTGAGCTCCAATAGTTGTCTCCAATGACCAGTCTCTATTGAAGAGAAATATTTTTGAGCTCCATCAGTCACAATGTACATGTGTGATCAAGTATGTTTGTGCTGTTTCACAACTATCTTTCCTCTACTTGCTATGGAGCATGCAGATTTCTTTTTAATGTTGAGTTGAGTCGAGTTGAGTTTAGGTTTTATTATCCAAACTTTCAAATACAGTAATATAACAATAATAACAATAATAAATGTATGTTTAACAAATATCTTGAATGAATAATAGTGACCAGAAAATAGCATAAAATGCTAATTATGTCTGGTACCTTTAAAGTAAAGTATCTTAACATTTAACAATGTATGTATATCATTATCGTATCTTGTTTAGATCCTGGTCACGGGTTTGAAATTCTTTCTTGGGTCAGACGAGGAAGGAGATGATGATGATGACAGTGACAGCGAATCAGAAGTAAGCTTCATGTTTCGTCTTATTTTACATGATCTTATTCAGGGAGAACATCTCATTGTTTTCATCAAAGAAACTCAATATTTCCCTTCTCTCAATTCCTACGATGGAACAGAGTTCTTCATGGGAGGAAGGTGATGCAACATTTGCTCTTTCAACAATTGATCCAGGTATAATTTCTTCAGAGGTTAATGTTTAGAATTGGGAAAACAATTTGATTTTTAAGGAAGAGGGTCGTCAGTTTCCATGTGCAAAAGGCCATGATTCGCTAACACCAAACTTGGTGGAAATACCATTAATGGGTGTACAAGTTTGCACACAGTACACCTTTAGTCCAATCAAAAAATACCCCTAGTATCTCTCAGAGTCTTTGGGTTGGGGAAAAGTAAGATAATGACTTTACCATAGCCCCATTTACACATCCAAAAGACCATTTTGAAAAATCATCAATTTTTTGTACTACCATAACTACTGGAAAATAAAACATGAAAAACTGTGACATGTCCATGCCCTGCATGCATTGGCGCTGAAGCGAGGGGATTCACATGACGAAAAACCGGTATCTCACCGAAGTTTGCTTTTACACTGCAATGTTATATGTCCTTGTGCATCATAATATATTTGATGGTTATTGTCTTGTTTGATTATATTAGGATGAGGGAACTGTTGCCAAACATATCCTCATTGGGAAGAAGGTGAACAAGACATCAAAGAAGAGACAGAAGAAAACCAAGAAGGCTCTCACAGTACTCAGGGTAAGTGGCTCTGCAATATTTATGAGGTGTATGCTTATGAAAATATCCTGGAAAGGAAGGAAAACCAACAAAGAGATATTGCACATGGCAGGGCATAAACAAATTGGGCTGGTAGGATTAGTCAAGGAGATAAAAAAAAGTCAAATACTCTTTGTCATGCTAAAAAGTTTTGTTGGAGGGAAGAGTAGAAGGAACTAGACCGAGAGGGAGACCTAGGATCAACTGGGAAGAGAATGTCAAGTGGACTGAAACTGCAAGAGTGCACCAGAATGGCAGAAGATAGAGTGAAATGGAGAGGTGTTGCAATCAACCTCCGAACCGGGAGAAGATACTTAGATAGATAGATGCTTATTTTGTGGTCTTGGAATGGTAATATCATGTCCTAAAGAGAACTGTGACATTTGGAATGGTATTGTGAACTTTAAATTCTGTAAAGTGCTATCGTATAATTGGTTTTGGACATGACCATGGAGGGAAACAAACGTGTGTTTCGCTACATGTACACTGATACTGTTGACATTGTGTGCAGTTCTTATGCCCCTCCCCCTCTCCCACCAGACAATCCGCGATCTGCCTTTCCAATCCATCCAATCCAAAAGATATTTGATATAGCGCCTTTTCCTTGCAGTTACAAAGCGCTGCACACATGCTCGACAATGTTTGGGCCACTTAAAAACAAAAGTTAGACACTTCTTAGAGATCAGCAAAGTATATGTAGGCTGGTAATAAAGTAATTTCTAGCAGAAAAGATGTGACTTGAGTAGTTTCTTGAACTGGTCAACAGATGAGGCAGTCTGCACAGCAGTAGGTAGTTCCTTTGTCATAGCAATTGTAATCTTAATCTCATTTCTTGACATACTTTGAATTTAAAAGTTTGTACTTGTTTGAATCCAGTGTGCTAAATCATATGTTTTGTGTAAACATGAATATATGAATGATTCATTTTGACTATTTGTCATTATAAAAATGATGCGCAGGTGGGTCAGAAGTTTCTGCATGCACACAATTCCACCGACCCATGAAATCAGATTGCAGGGATTCTTCTACCCATTCTATATTTTGTTTGATGAATTTGTTCTTTCATAATCTTTGACTCATGGATGTACTGTATCTATTCTTCCCCCCTCATACAGAAGCACAAAAAGAAGCGAAAGAGGAAAGAAGCATTCAACTTTTCAGCATTGCATCTTGTCCATGATCCTCAAGGTTAGTCTAGTGTATTTGAAGAAAAAAAAAGATTTTGTAAGGATCAGATTTATTGCTGTGATTTTGGAGTATGCCTGAAATGTATCTTTTCTTGAAGAAGATTATATCAGATATGTGTATTTTTTTAGAAACTGTGTGGTGTTAGCACTCATATTCAAATCATAGATTACAGAACTCAATGAACAATTTACAGGAGAAACTCAGCAATACTTTATATCCATGACATGATGATGATGAATGATGATGTTGATTTCATGCGTTCTAGCAGTATACCAATTATGTTAATCAGTGATCGGTCCTCTTAGAAAAACATTGCTGTATGGGTGCATCATTGCTGTAATCCATGTTCAGGGAAACCTGTATATAAAGACCGCTCAAGGGAAACATGAAAAATGGTCTTTATGGGCGAAAATGTGGCCTTTATGTACAGGTTCCTTTAGTAGAGGTTTCGATTAGAAACCATATTCAAGGGAAACAAAAAATGTGGTCTTTAAAAACAGGTGGTCTTTATGTACAGGTGGTAGCCAAAGCAGGTTTGAGTGTATTTTTTTCTTCTTCTCTTTTCTCTCTGTTCAGACTTTGCCGAGCGTCTTTTCAAGCAGCTGGAGAAGACGACGGAGAGGTTTGAAGTGAAGCTGATGATGATCAACCTCGTCTCACGTTTGGTTGGAATACATCAACTCGTCCTCTTCAACTTTTATCCTTTCCTTCAGAGATTCATCCAGCCATCTCAGAAAGGTCAGACTTTTGACCTCTCGTCAAGCCTCATTCTCATTACATGCCTCATTTAATAACTCCCTGTGTAGTGTATTTCAGATCTCTTTATCTTTTGACATACTAGTGAGAAGTGAGAAGCTTAAAGATGCAGAGTAGTGGGGTTTGATCAATGATCAGTTGTCCATGTCATCTCTGTTTCTTGAGCTTTTGCTCCGGAGCATTTTTTTTACCATTTTAATGGTTCCACTAGGTCTGTAGATTGAAAACATGATATATCAAATTGAGGGTTCAGTGACACAAAGACGTAACTCCATATTTTGCCAAAATGAGTATTTGATATCAAAATGTTCAGAAAAATGTGGGCTTTCCAGGAAACCCAATGACTTAACTCCACTCCACACCCCATTGAAGTCAATGGCTAGTGAAACATAGACTTAACTCCATAAGGCCCAAGCGCTCAGTGACACATAAACCCCTTTTCTCAAAATGGCCAAAATGGAGCGACATCTTTGTGTCACTGACCCCTCGAAATGAAATCAAGAATAACAAATTTCATTGTGGCTATTTTAATTTTTCAGAGGTGACGAAGATTCTGCTGTACACAGCGCAAGCCACCCATGAGCTCGTACCACCTGACATCATTGAATCTGTGCTGAGGACTCTAGTCAATAACTTTGTGACTGAGAGGAACTCAAATGAAGTCATGGCAGTTGGGTAAGTGATTGTCTGTATGTAGCTCCATTCCCATATCCCATGGTAAACCATCGTGGCATATATGAATGGCTTTTAGTGTCTTGATACTATAGAAAGCTCCACACTGCCTGGGTTCCTTTCAAGCTATCTGAGTGAAATACAATACAAAAACAATTGAATTGTGTCTCTGAATTGTATCTGTACCCTTTAGCATTAAACATAACTTGCTCCCATGTTGAATGCAGTTTTTTAAGTGTGTGCTCGATGTCCAATTGCAATGGGTCCAGACCTGCTTCAGGACATGACCTTGTCACTGAATAGGACCATTACTAACCCACCTTACTTGTACTTTCTTCTCAGATTGAATGCTGTGAGGGAGGTTTGTGCTAGATGTCCTCTCGCAATGGGTCCAGACCTGCTTCAGAACCTAACCTTGTAACTGAACAGTCCCATAACTAACCCACCTCACGTGTACTTTCTTCCCAGGTTGAATGCAGTGAGGGAGGTTTGTGCCAGATGTCCCCTTGCAATGGGTCCAGACCTGCTTCAGGACCTGACTCAGTACAAGAACTACCGTAGCAAGTCCGTCATGGCCGCATCAAGATCTCTCATCCACCTCTTCAGGAAAACTAACCCAGAGCTTCTCCACAGAAAAGACAAGGTAAGTGTGTGTGTGTGTGTGTGGGGAGGGGGGAGGGGTGGAATTCATCCGACTACCAATTTGTCTGTTTTAAGACGGAGCAGGCATTAACTCTTATCAACCTTTATCTCTTGTGGATGGTGATGTTAAAGGTCGGTCCCCAGACGTAATCATATCTGAGTGATACACGTCTGTAAAAAACCCAATTACACACAAATGCACACAACTCATACTCTCTAATACCTTTTTAATGCCCTTCTAGCTCTCAACGCGTGAATAGCTAAACTCATCATGTAGTGAAATATAGCACATTCACTTTAGATGTTTGACTAATCGCTGCAATGTGAGGAAGTTTTAAAGTTTAGCACGCAGAGTAATATCTTTCCCCAATTGAAATAACATTACATAACATAGTAATATCATGTCTTACAATATCCTTGCCGTAGGTCAATAATTTATGACTGACTTTTAGTCGATATCCCTGATAAATTTTGCCAGGACCTGGGCCCCGTTGCACAAAACTTACCATTGATGGTAACTTTGCCATCAATGGTTACTACCATGGAACCCTTGATTTTGATTGGCTGTTGAGCCCTGTTACCATGGTAGTTGCCATTGATGGCAAAGTTACTATCAATGGTAAGTTTTATGCAACGGGGCCCTGGAATTTCTTTTAAATATGTTTGTGGGTGATACCTCCCTACTGTTTTGATGTCAAGGTACTCTTTCTGATCACTCCTTCTGCTGCCAATATAGGGTTTCCAGCTTTTCTGAAAAAATCAGGGAAAACCTGGAAAATGAGTTCCCTTTTTACCAGTCAAGGAAAAGTTGGTTAATTAAAAATTACTAAAATCAAGGAAAAATTTGAGGGATCTATTTAGCCTCTAAAGAAAGGAGCCAGCCTCTTATGTTGACTTGTGTCCAAACAGCATATCCACTGGCCATGTAATACACCTTATATGCTGTATTGCCTGTAGAACCGATTGTTGATGGTGTTTCCCACTTAAAAAGGGTCATATTTTGAAACCACAACAGGGATAATCAAGGAGGAAATCAGGGAAAAAGCTGGTAGTTTTGTTTCTATGAAATACTTGGAACTCAACTCTGCTGTTACCAATTTTGTTTAATTAAAAATTTCATTTTGTTTTGATTTCAGGGTAAGCCTACAGAGCAGTCCACAGAGGCGAAAGCAAAGGAGTTCGGAGAGCTAGTAGCACCAGACTTCATCCCCGGGGCAGAGGTGTTAGGTGAAGAGAAAGAGGAAGATCAGGACGAGGATAAAGGTATATCGATTTCTTAAGTTTATCAAAAAAAATAACCTCTTTGGTTGGACAATCAAACCTGTCTATAGTGACTGCCCAAGGGAAACACAAAAAGTGGCCTTTGTAGACAGGTGGTCTTTGTAGACAGGTGGTCTTTGTAGACAGGTTTTTTTAGTACATGATTCAATGAGAAACCATTTTCAAGGGAAACAAAAAATGTGGCCTTTGTAGACAGGTGGTCACTAAAGCAGGTCTGACTATATATTTGTTTATATGTAATGAGTGATCAATAAGAATGATGTAAGTTGACATATTGTTTTTTATGATTAAGTTACTTATTTAAAAAGGGACCATCTACCCCAAAAATGAATTGTATAATCAATTGAGATGTAAAATCATGTAAAGACATACATGTAAAAATAAATGGGGTATTCAAATGTTAAGTAATTGAAATGGTAAATAATTATTGAGCAAGTTAAAAAATTAAACATAAAGGTAACACAAAATAGTTATCATGAAATCAATGATCATGCGCCCTCTTATAATGATAAAAATAATATTGGATATTTATATAGTGCACATATCCACCGCATATGGTGCTCCAGGGGCTCCAATATTATCCTGGCTCCGCTAGGCTACCATATCGGCGCTCACCTCATTCCAGGAATTCTTTCCTGTCGGTACCCATTTAACACCTAGGTGTAGAACCGCAAATGTAGAATAATGTCTTGCAAAATGACATTAGTGCCGCTGGAATTACCTTGGGAATAATAATAGTTCGTCCTTATATCGCACATTTCAGGATATATATTATTACCCCGGTCATCGGATTCATGCTTACCCGCACACAAGGTATGCACATTCTCCACTCCCTGGGGAGCATTCCAGCCAGTCGCCATTTTACAAGCGCCACTTGCTAATCAAACCACATTAGCTTTCGCATCCTACCGGGTAACCATTTAACACCTGGGTGGAGAGTGGCAAATGTAGATCAATGTCTTGACAAAGGATATTAGTGCCGCGTTAGGACTTGAACTGCGGACCTTGTGATCGACAGTCGGGTGACATATCCACTCGACCACGACACCTCTACACAGAACATTTTATTTAATAAATTTTTTACCAACCTAATTTTAGATGGATGGGAGACAGCAAGCAATGATTCCCATGACAGCGAAGACAGCTGGCACAACGTGGTTCACTCTTCGGACGATGAGGGCGACGCAAAGGAGGGAGCGGAGAACCCTGCCACGAACCTCACCATGGAAGAGAAAGTGACTCGAGCCACGGCCATCAGTCAAACCAGGATACTGACCCAAGAAGACTTTCAGGTTCGTTGACCTATTAACCCCAAAGTGAGCCCTGCAAGTGGGCTATTCATTTGTATTTCTTCATTTGATAAGTTTTAATCTGCTTCAAATGGTTTTCATCAAGAGAGTTGTCTTGTGCTTAAAGACACATAGTACTTGGCTCTCATGGGGAATTGAGTATCATTCGGTAAAGTCATTATCTTTAACATTTCTTTCGCCCCAAATCTCTCTGATAGTCTAGGGGGTATTTCTTGATGCGACTAAGGGTTTGCTGTGTGCAAAACTTGTGAAGTGAAAAGAACATTATAAGGCAACATTTACCTGTGAGACTTGTTGAAAGATTTTTCTGATGCTCACATTTTAACAATTCTTTCCCACCAGTTTCTTGCATTGCATTTTCTAACTTGCTCACTTTGACTGTTGCTCATTCTATGCGTATATATTGTAAGAATACCTTGTATTGTTATGACTAATTAGGCTGTATCCCTCCTATATCATGTTAATTGTAAAAATGAGTAATGTTGTCCTATGTATTGTCTATGTTCTATGTAGTATGAGTATCATGTATTGTCCTTTGAAACGTAAATTATATCACACTGGTGGACATTATGTATGTTTAAAATATGTATGTTTACAATAGGATTTAGGACTAATTGAGGAAATAATGTTTCAATTTTTGCAGGCAATCCGCACGGAGCAGGTGCGGAAGGAGCTGGCCAATGCGCCTAAAGCCAAGGCGGGACGCAAGAGGAAGAACGTGGAGATAAGCAGCGATAAGAACCAAGGAGGGGAGCTTCTCTCTCTCAACCAGATTGAATCCATTCATTACAAACCCAAGCATGACAGAGAAACAAGGATGGCTACCCTTATGGTAAGATCCACTCACTTATTTGCAAAGACTTTTCAAAAATCAACTCAAAAGGGTCATTTTAGTATCCTGCTTTAGGTCCCGTAGAAATCATGATTTCATATTACTTTGATGTAATGTTCGCTTAAGATGACGGACAAGGCCATTAATTGCAATTGTGTTCCGTGCTGATGGAAGGAAATACTAGTTTTGGTTGTTCAAGAATTTGATTGTTTTGATGAAAACAATAATAATAATAGAATTCTTTTTGGTACCTGTATATTTCTATCGTAACCCTGTGAAATGCAAAGAAATAAAAAGAAAAAGAAAAGAAAGAGGGGTGAAATTATGCTTTTTAGAGGTGTTGTGGTCTAGGGGATAGGTCGTCGTACTGTGGATCACGAGGTCTGCGGTTCGAGTCCTGCCGCAGCACTAAAGTCTTTTAGCAAGACATTAATCTGCATTTGCCACTCTCCACCCAAGTGTTAAATGGGTACCTGTATGAAAGAATTCCTTGAATGCTGTGAGTGCCGAAATCGGCAGCCTAGCAGAGCCGGGTATTATTGGAGCGTCTTGAGCACCTTGCATGGTGTGCGCTATATAAATATTAGATATTATTATTATTATTAAATTAAATTAAATTAAATTAAATTAATATTAAAGGGTTGTGGGCGAATACAGATGTTGAACAAGTGAATGTACTGCTACACCCACTCACTCAAAATATATCTGTTTATTATTCTCTGTTCAGCATCCTACAATATCCTATTTGCTACCAGACCTTAAATTGTTACCTCTAAACAAACTAAATCTTTCTTTAATATGGCTTTACTTGTTTCTCTTGAAGTTAAGGTTGCATGGGAAGGAACTCACAATGCCAGTGCACTAAGACTGCCCTTATTTCATTTGAGTGGCATAGGATGTCATTTGGGGGAGGTTCTCCTTCTCCTGAATAGACCAGTGCTCGGTTAGCACATGTCCCAAATGACCCCAAATATCCACAGATCTTCAAAACATGAAGAGGTCCCACTTTGTACATTTTGAAATAATCACTCCTACAGCGATGGAGGTGCTACATAAATAGCCTTTGTTTCCCCTTTTCAAAGAATACTTCCACCTGTGTATCATGGAGTGCACTGCTTCTGCGTAAATGAATAATGATTACATAACTTTCATGAGCACGTATCCAGTATTTTGTCTCCGTGTATTTCACATTCTTTTTAATCAAATCCTTATTTATAACCTGGTTTGCAATTTTGTGTTTGTTAAAATCGTATTTTGTAATTTTCTATATTTATTTATATTTTGATATGTTGATGAAATGTATATACTTGTTTGTGTCATGAAGGGCCTCAACGAAAACCAGTATTTGTTTGCTGATTGGGCTACCCTTCTTTTTAAAGATGTGTTATAAATAAATAAATAAATAAATAAATATTGGTCTGCAATGACCTTTATCTGCTCATGCTCATACTGCAACTACAGTATTACTTGAAATAAAGTAGACTCCCTAACACCAAGTCACACCAAATTCTATGGAATAATACATGCAGTTAGGCATGACACAGTGTGAGAGTATCCACTTTATATCAAGCAATATTGTATGAACTGGCATATAGTAGAGGCTAAATGATATCAACAGCTTCAATTTTTTTTCTCTCGCTCCTGAGTTTCAGGCTGGATGTGAAAGAAGAGCACAATCCAAGAGTGCCTACTGCCCTTAATGAAAAATGATGTATACAACTTCAAATTTTCTTCTCTTGATCTCAGGCTGGACGCGAAGGACGAGAAAAGTTTGGAAGTAAGAGGCAGAAGATGAACCCCCATGCAAGTACTACCAACAAACAGAAGAGAAAGAACAAACCATTCATGATGCTGAAACAGAAATTTGACATTAAGTCCAAATTCAAAAGATCCTTCAGAGAAAAACAGGTAAATAGTCATTCAATCCAACGACCAGGGTAATAATAAGTACAATGTAAAGTGCTTAGAAACATACTTTTAAGCACTATACAAATGTGACTATTATTATTATAAGTTCATGCTGTCCTCAAATTTGTTTACACTTTTGTTTCTCCTCATCAAATTCTCTTGCTCTTTGTATTCACATTAGTGTTTCATATTTTTCAATTTTGTCTTTTAAATGTAAATCAGTTTCTTGTCAGTTCAGTTGTTCTTCGTACACATGTAAGTTAAGTATTTTTTTTAGTGTTCCCTAATCATAACAATCACATTCTAAATTTGAAAAATTGTAATGGATATTTGTTATAACATGGGTATGGGAACCATAAGAATTTCTTTGTGAAATTAGGTATCTTGTTTTATCAGAACTCTGTATCTGAAGTTTTCATCGAAAATACCTTTTGATTGATATGCGTTCTGAAACTGTATTTTGTCTATACAATCTGAAATAAATATATGGTATTGATAGAATCTGATATCAAGAAACATCTGTAATTTATTTTCCTGTTTCTAGATAAAAATCTGATGAAACTAAATGAATTATGTAGCACCCTTAATAGTCTCCAATTCATCTGCTTGGAGCCAGAAAGGCAATGATAATCCATATACTTATACATTTGGTGCGTTGCAAGAAAGTTGCGATTGATTGCAAGTTGCAAAATTTGCAACTGATATTTGCAATTGATTGCAACTCAACATTCTTGCAACGCCCCACTAGTCTCCTAAATTTCCTCAGATTTTGTTAGAATTAAAGTTTTAACAATTTAATTCAATTAACTAGATCTAGCTTTTATTCCCCCCCCCCTCTCTCTCTCTTACTAATGGGACATTGCAAGAAAGTTTAGTTGCGATCAATTGCGAATTTGCAATTAATCGCAAGACTTAAGCTTGATTTTGGGGTTTTGCAATTGATTTGCAACTTTCTTGCAACTCCCCAATAGAATCAACACCCTTGTGGTTCTGAAGAGATGAACTACCCTCTCCCTCATTTTCCCCCTTTTCTTTTGTCCCTTTGGAATCAAATCTTGATCAGTGTACCCAATTTTTGTTCTATTTTCAGACTGCTCTGAGAGACTCCCTCTTGAAAAAATCCAAAAAGGGGAAATACTGATGAATGCGACAACGAGGTTTGATTGAAGGACACATGGGATGACATTGTGTGCTCCTGAAGCAATGAACAGTCTCCTCAAAAATGGAGGATATCAAAGGGGGATAACAAGCGCTGCTTGTAGAAGGTGCAGAGGATCATGTTGCAGATTTCACAAGCTTTGGAAAGCGAAAAAGAAACCCCAAAACTGGAGTCCAAAGTGAAGAATCCTCCCGTGCTTGTTTCCGTCTTATGATATAAGGAAATAAAAGCAAAACAAAAACACTCTGCATTGCTGGAGGAAGAAATAATCATTGCCTTCGTAGCTGGGCTAGAATACAAGATGTACAGATCAGCACAGTCCATGAGGAACCATTTTAAATTCTATGAAATACAGAAAGGTCGTCGACATATTTATCTCATTTAATTTTTAGCCGGAAGGTTGTTCCATGAGACGATTTTGACAGGAGAAATGCTAAATACTCCCACACTCGAGCTGGATGATAAGACATTTTGGCATTGGAGATCATGTGGTAACAAACCATAATTTGGGAACTATCGCTTGGCTAAAAAATATTTGAAATGTCACCTACTTTGTATTTTAAACTCCAATTATTTGTTTACCATTTGTTGAACATTTTAAACGTTTATTTGCCAGTCATACGAGCTATTGATGGAGTAATAATTTTTAGTATTCTATCACAAATTCTTATGATTTGTATATACATGTTATATTGAAATATATTCAATAAATTAATTGTATAATATTTTATTTTTATATTTTGTATCATTTTATTTCATGCTATATGATATTTTTTATTGTACTGGTTTTCATGTTGGAGGAAATGCCTTCAAAATTGGTTTTCATTGTAGATGTCCAGTAAAGGTAGCGATAATGAAAATGATGAATTTAATGATGATGATGATGGTGATTTTATTGATGATGATGGTGATTATATTGATAGTGATGATGGTAATTGGGATAATGTGATGGTGATTATATTGATGATGATGGTGAGTATATTTATGAAAATGATAATGATGTTGATGATTATATTGATGATAATGATGATGATGGCAATGCAGATTATATTGATGATGATGTTGGTAATGATGATTGTGATGGCGACTGTATTGATGATGATGGCGATGGTGATGATGGTGGTTATATTGATATTGATGATGATGACAATAATGGTGGGGGTAACAAGTGAACCATCCATGTGAGATGCGATACAGTGTGTGTGTGCGTGTGTGTGTGTGTGTGAGAGAGAAAGAGAGAGAGAGAGAGAGAGAGAAAGAGAGAAAGAGGTAGGGATAGAATGATTCTAGGATTCAGTGAAGAGTAAATGCGTTGAATTCTTTCGAAATGACGCTGAACATGTGATCCTGTCTTCTTCTTATGACGTCATCGTGAGTAAAGAATGAGTAAAGTAAATTTGTAAACGAGTTGATATGTTTGCCCCCCCCCCAAAAAAAAAATCCTATTCTTGATAATGCAGTACATATAGTGTACGTGAAATTAAAACAATTTTGATGAAAAATCCCCCCCCCCCAAAAAAAAAATAATAACGTACACACTATGGTGTCAAATGTTTTAAAAACAAATCGGGAGCACATACTCACATGTAGGGTAACATTGAATAAGTGTGAATGCGTTCTTTGAAAAGAAATATAGTGTACGGATCGATGTATTTAACGACCCCTTTACATGCAATTGGAAAGAGGAAACAATGATGAGTGAAAAATACGTCCAAAAAAAAGTCGGGTAATATGGCGCTGGTGCCGATGAAAAGAAGAAAAAACAAAAATAAACTTCTGAAATCTCATACGACTGGACCAAGTGTTTCTCAAGGGACCATGGCGTTTTTTGTAAGATTGAGCGATTCATTTTAAGAAATCAAAAGTTAATGAAAAGGACGTTGGATTATAATTTTTTAGGACATACATGAAAGGGCATCTGACATCATCAATGTCTGTTTGGATCAGATTTATCGATTACGATTTTTGAAAATGATCAGCGTAATCAACCTACAGATGATTTATACAAATCGGCTGTCAGTGGGTAAAATGAGAAAATAACACAAATGGCAAATAAAACTAGGGAGGGGTACATTTTTCACTTTCAAAGGGCACTTCTAACCTCCATGGGGCACTTTCTACCCACCACCCCGCTTCCGGTCCTGATATAAATGTTTGTTTGTATTCTATCTAGCAAACCTATCCGATGAATGATTGGAGAAAAGAAAGCTACTCGAGTGAAACGAGCGTCAGTCGGCTGTTATTCATAACTGAGCTATCATCATCAGGACGTCATCGCAAATCTGATCCGATATAGACATTATTATCGGTGATCGGTTACACTGTAAACAAGTTCGGCATCAATAGTCGTCTGCCTTTTGAGTCATAACACACTCGTACTTTTCCAATGTCATTTTTGGCGCCAAAAAGAATACAAGATTTTTTTTCAGTGGAATAACGGCTGAGGTTTTCTGCATTGCCATGGTGAATGACGTGTCATGATAAATTAAGCGGATCGGATCGAAGCGATGACAGCGTTTTGGGTGAATGGGCAATACATGAATGATAGTCAACTTCTGATTTGGAACGTCAGAATATCATTATGAAGAATAATTTCGAAAGAAGTACACGTTCTTAAAAGCCTGCATGTTTGGATTGATTTCTCTGATATTTTTCCTGCACGTTTAATTCAGACGAGGATTGAAAAAAGGTCAGTGCTTTCAAACTTTTGCTCACGAATTTAACATTAAAATAAAAAGAACTTGCCACATACACTTTAAATTTTGTTCTGATTTTTGAGGTGACAGTTTAATGTGATAAAATATGTATGAGCTTAACTTTGAATAAAGTAGGCCTGTATAATAATGACTGAAATACAGAATGGGATAGAAAAATAACAGTGAGGGAGAGAAAATAAAAGGAGGGAACCAGATCTATATAGGGCCATGTGTTTTCTCTTGACCTTCCATATTATGTTGTACTACATTTTGTAAATAATTCTACAATGTAGACGACCTATATGTTTATGTCATTCATTGAAGTGTATTCACAAATTCATTAGAATCCCGATTTTGGATAAAACTATTCGTTTAAAATGTCACTGCCACTAAACACTATCACAATGCGCATAAACATCCCTGGTCCAAGTCATGATAATTATACATGTATACTAATTGCACATTATCAAAACTTTATTTTGATTTCAAATTTATCTTAATTAAATCTTGATATAAGCTTACTTATACGTACTATCAAATATTGTTGACTTGCTAAAATGCAAACATTACAATAAAAGTAGGTAATTTACGTTGAGTTACGACTAACTTTAGGAATACATCACATATCACAATTTGTGGAACCACAACAACTTTAGCTTACTTATTTGAGAATCGGAATCTAACTAAAGTTAGATGAGTCATGAGACGAGACCCCATCTAGATTTAAATCCAACCATTATTGTAGCTCCAATGTTAGAACTTTGGTAGAATCCTTTAAGTCCACTCAACAGTTAGATCATCTCAGGTTAGATTAATTATTCATGAAAGGAGCAGGCGCTTCACTTTTTGCGGCTACGCCATTGATTTTGTGAGCCTAATTAAAATAAACATTTACCCTGTCCTATAAAAATAATCAGCTATTAGGGAGTCTTGTGATTAAATAAATTGCTGTCATGTGTATTGTGGCACGGGGGATAGGTATCCGAATTGTGGACCACAAGGTACGCGGTTCGAATCCTTGCAATATGAAATCATTTGGTAAAACTACAATCTACATTTACCGCTTTTTATCCAGGAGAGGTAACTGGGGAATCGATAGGAAGAAATTGTTTGCATGCTTAAACGGGGCTCAAACTTTAAAGGCCTTATCCTGGCGGCTCAGCTAAGGCAGGGGTAATAATAATTATTACTTCGTATTAAGCACAGCAGAGTATATAGTAGTTGCGCTATGTATATACATCTTTTATTATCATTATCTAACTTAATTAACGTAACTACGTTATTATCTTTATATATTGTTTTATTATTATTATTCATCTTAATCTTGTTCCTATTCTTATTATAATGATTATAGTTATAATGATAATAATAATTCTTATCATTATTTGTTATAATAGTAGTAGTAATTAGTAGTATAGTATCAATAGTATAGTATTCGTACTAGCAGTACAGTGGTAGTATTGACCTTCCCCACGTTTTCCCTATACCCACCCCTTCACTGCACGTCATCCGCGCCGTTGCTCTAGCGCTCCTACATGTTCAATTAGCCATGAACCGGTTTTTTCCATCTCGGTGAATGTACAATTTGTGAATTGCTCTCAAGAGGCAACGCGTTCTCTGAAGTGACATTTGAGCATCTATGATATCTTTATGATTTGATTTGTCCATATGGAAGAGGGCTATAGGGGATGGATTGTCCAGCTGAAATCATCAGAGAGCGTTTCCTAGCAATAACTACATTGTAGGGATTTCCCCCATTGTTTAACATGGAATTAATTCTTATCATTGCGCAGTCTATTTCAAAATGAGACCAAGCAAACTATAACAAAATGGCAGTATCAGAAATGTCAGTTAAAAACTAGTTCAATTGAATTTGATTCTTTCCACTTACATTATTTTGTCAATGTGTTATTTAATTGTTTTACCTTGTTTACTATATCCTTTACAATATTCTAGTCAAATATATTCGCATATGCCTATCTTTAATATAATGTAGATTATGACATTACAGGTATTTTGTATACACTGAAAGATTGACGGTTGATTTATGATTTATATAAATCTCGATCCAAAGAATAATTTTCTCTTTACTTTATATTGTTCAATGATCAATTACATGTTTGTGCAGAAGCAAAGCGGGGGCGGTGAAGGGGGGGGGGGGGGTGGGGGCGTGGGGTGTTTGTTCGAGTCTTACGAGATATTGAAAATACGGGGGAGCTATGTCTCGGTGAAGATCTTGTCATTTTGTTCTCTCACCCCCGCCCCCCTCTTTCTTGCCTTTCACCGAATAACCTTACGGGTTGGGGGCTTTGTATCCCAGCTCTCCCTGTTAGTATAGCTAGTCCGTACTTGGTCGTTTGTTTCATATCGACTATTCTCTCACATTTCATTATTACGAATATTATGATGACGCGCTTTATTCGGCTTTCCATTCTATCGAGTTTCTTTCTCCAGATGCAAAGGGCAACTGATTCGATTCGATTTCTGTGAGGAATCCTCGTGAAAGACAATAATTCACAGTTTCTTAAAAACGGACATATAGCCTACCACAAGTCCACTTCTACCATCTCACCATCAGTAGTGCCACCACCATACCCCAAGGGGGGTTAAACCAAGGTAAACTAAGAACAGGAGAACATCATGGGATCACTCTTTAGGGAATGCAGGAATGGCTGGATCGTGGTCGTCGGCCGATTCATCAGCGGCTTCGTCGAGGTTGGGACGGTGAAGAGCTTCGGCGTACTCCTGCCCGAGATAGTGACACAGCTCAATGCCACGTCGGGAAAGATCGGGCTTGCATTTGGACTTTGCCATGGACTTACATTTGGTTTGGGTAAGTGTCTTGACCATTTTACTCAATTCGGGAGAATTATTTTTTGTTTGTTTTGTTTTTATTATACAACACGATCTCAAAGACTTTCGAAAAATAAATCCAACGGCAATTTCAACGCCCTGCTGTATATTCCATAGAAATCAAGTCCAGATTAAGTAAAACATTGTAGTGATATACTTGGGTTCCATAGACCCATGTCTTTGAGTTTTGGGGACACGGCGGACAAAAGGACCAAACTTTCTACAGATACTTATCAAGCCCAAAGCTTCATTTTCCTCCACAGAACTCACTACTAGTTGTATCACATCTTCAGGGTATATCATGCGGATGTATTCAAGTTGTATAATCATGTTTGCTAGTATTACATTAGCATTAAAGTTCTAACTTTCCAAAATAATCTTATGTTTAATAGTCATGGCAATAGCTATACTTTCTCCTAAAAGCCCTTAAATCACGTTTTCATGGCTAATGCTAATGTATGCAATTGTTATTTAGCTTTTACTCTGCCTACGTACATTAGCATCAGCATGCAAACTCTCAAGAGCTATGCTTTTTAAATTAATTTATAACATAGGCCTACATATCATGCCCAAATTAAAATTTTCCTCCAGAAAACTCACCAAGCATCCTAAAATATATTGTGTTTATTATGCAAAATTATGCAAACGAATTGTAGTTTGCTGGGGGAAGGGCTAATACGGGCCATTACAAACTTTTACTCCAAAAGTAATGTGTCTATGTAGTCTACTTATACTTGCCATGTCTACAACTATAGGTTTTCTGTGATAGTCGTTCATCTGCAAATTTCTTAATGAATATTTCTCGGTAGTGTGTGATCAGTTACACATTGTTATGATGTCAACATCTCTATTATTGTCAGTGTATACGTTAAAAAAAATTGTTATTATTTTGTATATTTTGTACCGCTGAAATGTAATTTGATTTGTAGAAGAAAATAAATTTAATCCAATTCAATTCTTCTTCTCAGTACGTATCAGGGGCGTACGCAGGGGGGGGGTTTGGGGGTTCAAACCCCCCCCCCCCCCTTTGGTTTTTTTTTTTGGTTTTTTTTTTTTTTTTAGTTATTAAAAAAAAAAAAAAAAAAAAAAAAAAAAAAAAAATTATACCCACGGCTAACGTAAAAAAGGTGACCTTACCCCCCCCCAACGAAAAAAAATGTCAAATTTTGAAATTTCGAGACAAAAAAAAAAAAAAAAGTGTCCGCTTAATAATATTGTTTAAATTTCATCTTCAGTGATTGACAGTGGCATTTGAATATTTTGAAACATTGTATATAGCCGAGAATAAACAACAAGATTGAATTCAATTTGGTTTGGTTTATACATTTTAGTTAGTATATATATATCATTATTTTGATAAATGGCACACTGAATCGATTTATATTTCATTAGGTACGTACGTTATGGTTATTTATGCAAATTCCCTTTAATTACCAAATAATTGGTGACAAGGTTTTATAGAAGGACTTCATGTTTTCGTGTACCAAGACATATATACATAGGCTAGTTGACTTACTTCTACATTTAAAAAAACGTTCAATTATAATTATGATATGAATGAATGACTTATAAAGGTATGAATAACGTGATGAAGTTATCTTTTAATCTACAAAGGCCCATGCCCAAACCCCTTTTAAAACCAAATGATTTAACCTTAAATGATTGCACATCAAAATATACACCCCTTTAGTAGGTTTTTGTTCGTCCTTTCTAGTGTTTAAGACAAAGTACACGTAAAATATGACAATCCTTTGTAGTTGTTTTTTGCTTGTCAATATATTTTTAATTGTGCTTTCCCATTAATATTGCTTCATGGCGCCCCTACTCTCTTTAAGGCGTAGAACAAAATTAATCATACGGGGATTTTTTTTTTAATTCAGCTGTGAGTATGAATACGATTTTTAGGAAAAAAGCTCTAATATGTAATTTCCCTTTAAAGACAAGGGGATAAACAAAATCATAGGATGTGAGCACTGGTCTTCCTCAGTCGGTTGAATGTATAAAAAGAGAATTAATATTCAATAAATAAATGAAAATGAATATAAGAAAAAAAGACGACATCAATAATCCTGTTGATTAAAGAAGGGTATAGGAAGGGATCGAGGCGTCTTTTCAATGATGTTCTATTGCCACTCTTTTCCTTTCCCCTTTTTCTTCATCATTGTTATCTCCCGCTCTTCCATGGGATAGGGGCGTTACCCCCACAAGTAAACCGCTGATCCCAGTGGTGATTCTACACTCTGTTTATCAATTTATCTCTTATCCTCATACGAGGCATTTTATTTCTTTATATCATTGCATATATAGTTTGATTACAATTATATATACAACTCAACAGCCTGATAAAATAAGATATAGGAGACAAAAAGAAAGTGGAAGGAAAGATCGAGGCATAAATAGAAATGCGTTTAAATCTGACATAAGAAAGATACATCTTGATATTACTTATTACTTTTTCTTGGTTTCTGTATTGCCAATTGACATAAAACATGAAATCGCTTTTGAAAGTCATCCAAATTGAATGACTATCGAAGGTTTTACTTTTAAACTGATTAAGCATAACTTATAACTTGCATAATGTGCGTAAAGAATTAGTACATTCATGAGCAGAGACTCCGCGTCACCGTATGTTAAAACAAATTATAATGATTTTTTCTCCTAACGCAATATCTTTTTGGAACAAATTCATTACCAGACGATGATTTTTTCCCAAAAGATCGCGACTTGACGCCATCTAAGCAAAATGTGTATAAACGATTCTGGTTCATTACAATATGTACAAAGTATTAATATATCAATTTCTATATACTATATTTTCGATTGCATTTCCAACCACTGATGCTGTTTAACCCCATAGGTCCATTGACGAGTGCTCTATACCGATGGACGCAGAGCCGTTGGGTGATGGTGATGGGTACCTTAATAGCAACCATCTCTATCACACTTGCATCCTTTGCCACTGATGGGAGCCACCTTCTGGTTGCACTCATCTTCACGGGTGAGTGACAGGCATGCATGCACCATGGAGATTAAGAGTTCTTATTCACCTGTGCCTCGCTTAAATAAACCAGTTTACTATAACATATTTAAATGTAATGCATCATTTAAAAACAAAGGTTATTCTTGAAAGCCTAAAAACTTGCCCGAGGCTTGTCCGACATAGCAACAAGTTATGTATGTAGACTGGATTCCAATTATTGTATATCATTCATTAATAACTGGTTAATGCGATACCTCGTCACTAGGTCCCCAAGAAAAAAAACATCCATAAATTTGAATATATTAGTAAACCGGTCGATTCATTTGTAATCAAGACAATTTTGGTTCAGTCCGACTCTTTCTATTTAAAATGGAACAGCAATTATCCTGAGGATACGTGTGTGCTATAGAGGTATATAGAAATAAAGAAATATTATGAAGTTGTTCTTTATACAGTGGCAATTTTAAATTCTGGCTATGTAATGCTAATGTCTATTACTGGCTTCATTAATGCATATCTCGCAAGTCAGATAGCACCCTTCTGTCCTTAGTATATGAGGTTTCCCTGCTAAATTCAGATTATTAAGTTTGCCTATCATGTTTCCCATAAATCAGGAAGATGGGAATCAATATTCAACAATCTCTAAGGTTCCCTTTCACGAGGTACCTGGATGTGATCAAACAGCGCCATCCTTCTAATGCCTTCTTTGTGAACCCTTTTTCTCTCTCCCAGGACTTGGGTACTCATTAATGTGCCTACCGACCATAATGGCGCTTAACAAGCACTTCGTCGACCGCTTCGCCCTAGCCTATGGTGTCGCTCAGACCGGCCCCGCTGTCGGTATGATCGTCCTGCCGGTCATCACTGAGAACCTGGCTCATGGTTTCGGTTGGAAAGGCGCCCTCTTCCTTCTAGGTGCCATCAACTTCCACATGATGATCACGGCTGTGGTCACCCGGGAACCCGAGCATGTTTATGGACACTGGCGGAGAAAGAAAACTAGTGATCCAGATGATATGGAGAGCAAGAGAGCACAGTTCGAGAAGGATGCATGTAACTTGAAGGAAGTCAAGTCTCTTGGAGCGGCGGTATTGTTGAATGGTGGAGCGGAGGAAATCCCATACCAGCAACGCGATGGGGCAAAATATGGCAGCTGCATGAACCTGTCATCGAATGTGTCCAAAGCGGCGAGAAGGAATTCTTTCTTGATGAGAAAGTTCAAATCTTGTGACGAGGAAGACATTGCGATTATGTCTGATGATGAATTCAGTACGCCTAAGCAGAACCTTCGCGACAAATTTGAGAAACGGAAGCCGTATCACAGATATGGCAACGATACCGTCAACTGTAATGACAAACAACCACTTTTTTCTGATAGTCGTGGTAAATACTACGGTAAAGAACACTGGGCATACGAAATCAGGAAGCTGAGTTACGTCTCAGAAGAGCATGAGTCCGTTGATAGCCGTGAGAGACTGAGGAAAGGCGGTACTTTGCGATCATCCTGCAGTTCTTGCTTGAGCTCCTGCAAGTCTGGTGCCATGACCGTTGTCCGGTTCCTAGACCTCGAACTCATGCGGGACGCACCGGCTTTGATCGTCCTGCAGCTTTCGTTCATTCTTCTCACTTCCGTCCATGTCGGTTGGATGATCTTCCTGGTACCCCACGCTATCGCAAAAGGCATCCCATTGGAGAGTGCTGTCTTCCTTTCTTCAGTTGGCGGGGTTGGTAACCTGATCGGTCGAATCGTCCAGGGGCCTATTGTGGACAGACGACTCTTGACGGGTGTCCAGCTTTCTATCCTACTATCCATTGTCAACGCAATCACATTCGCGATTGACCCGTTGCTGCAGACCCTACCTGTTCTCTGCGTCGATGCGTTCTTCAGTGGACTTTGTAGTGGCGCTTTGATCCCACTTGTAGCTATATGTGTCAAGGAGGTTGTTCCCAGGGACAGATTCGCCAATGCTGTGGGTCTCGTGTCACTCTCCTACGGCATAGGAGAACCTCTTGGTGGTTATTTAGCAGGTAAATGTTTTTTTTGAAATATTATTCTTTAATTGTGTAGAGTTGTTGTGGTCAAATGGATACGTCACCGGACTGTGGATCACAAGGTCCGCGGTTCGAGTCCCGCCGCGGCACTAATGTCATTTGGAAAGACATTAATTTAAATTTGCCACACTCGACCCAGGTGATGTAAATATGTACCTGGCAGGAATAAATTCCTTGAAATGCTAGAGCACCGTAGTTGCAGCCATGCTAAAGCCGGGGTAATAATTGATGAGCGCAAAGAGTGTCAAGTCTCACAAAATAAGAACCCATTAATATTATTATATGATACAGAAGCACAGCTGTAAGTGCGCATTAAACTAATGAATCGTGGTGTATCTACCCCCTTTTCGACCAATGTTCACTACCTCGTAAATAAAATAAAATCTGTTTGCTCGAATGGTATGAGAGTCCTCAGGAAGTGATATTCTTGTTTCATACCAAGAAAGACAAAGTGATTAAGCAAGAGAGAACTTTTTGTATTCATTGCAATAGAATCTGTATAAAAACATCAAAAAGTTACATTTTCAGGTCCGTTAGTGGAGTACTGCTTTAAAGTAATGGTTCATGTGTCACAATTTCTGTTTCCAGCTGATATACAAGTAAGAACTTCCCCAAATATATATGTTAACTGGTCCTCGTTTCTTTTGCAGGAAAGCTTTCTGACGTCACCGATTCTTACGAGAGTGTCTTTCTAGTATTTGGTGGCCTGGAATTTCTCAAGGTTCTGCTACTACTTGTGGTCGCAATCATGGTTTGGAGAGAGAGCAGAGCAACACCGAGTTGATGAAGCACTACTGTTCAGTATCAAAATAAAACCTTTCGAGAATCTCAGGGTTCATATATTCATGGTGCAAATTAGCTTTACTAGCTACCAGTACTGAGGGGTGTTTCACAAAGATCCGAAGTGGAACTTATCTCTAAGTTGGATTTAACAATTATGGAAAGTCGTTGGCATCTTTGAAAATATTTTGTAAAAGTTATTTTAAAATGCATAGCATGTTGATTCAAATCTTTCATATATTCTATTATCAAGGAGATTTCATGTTCTGATGTGGAATTTATGAAAGGTCTAAAATACTTGACTTTTTGCTTTGAATATATTTTATTTCAAGGCTACACATGGCTCTCCATAATGTTTAAGTCCAACTTAGATTTAAGTTGTGAAACACCCCCAGGAGTGGAAATGTAGTTTTGGGGTGTCATATTAGAGACCGTTTCATTTGGATTTGAAATCCGCTTTCAAAATAGTGTAATTCACTCTCAGGATGAGTTATTTAACCCCTACTCTGGAGTGGATTCTATTCAAGTGGGTTCAACTCCAAAAGAAGTGATCTCTAATTTGAATCCTAAATGGATTCCACTCTTCTACAGTAATAGAGTACTTCAGAGTATTATATAAACTGTAGCTTGTGTGTATACATAATACAAAACTAAAAATAAATTGTCGGAGACGTACGAACGTGTATCCCGCAGTCAAGACAAGCTTACTAAGCAATTTCTATCCTAAATTAAGAACCTTTCCTTATTAATAAAACTTATTAAGATAGATGGGCCCGTCGTTTTGGAAGTCATACATGAATGTAAGTCTTCATGAATACTGCGAAAATCCATAGCCAGTAAAAGAACATTTGTTGCTGCCGAATTTCATTCGTTTATTTAATACTTTTCTGACAAATCGATATAAAGAGAGAAAGGAAGAATCATAGAAGTGGACACCAATTTTTTTTTCAAGGTTTGACATATTGGGAGGGTATCTTTAAAGGCCATATAAGTCATATCCGGAAAGCTGTTTCCTGGACAACTATCTCATATAAGTATTCCCAAGGGCAACAATCCCCAAACTGTTACCTCGACGACATGGCCTACTGACAAATATCCCAAGGATACAAAACCCTAAACATAGTTTTCTGGACTTAAGACTAGTATTCTGGTAATTAACTCCAAAGGGAAAACCTCTGACAAACCCTGTACTCGATCGACTCACTGTAGAATTGTTTTGAAAAGATTTTTAATATTGGATACGAAACAATGCTTGCCTCTTTCACACTGTTGATAATTCCTTGGACAATTACCATCTGGACACTGTAAAAATGATTTTTGATATTGGGTACGAAAAAATACTTGCATCTATCACACTGACGACAATTCCTATGACAATTACCATCTGCGTTGACACTTAGAAAATAAACTAGAACAAGTACCTCCTCTGATAGTTACCTCCTTTGGTAATCATAGGTCGAAAGGGGACATGACCTCCCTGATCATCCAATAAAAAGAATGGTCATCCACGGAACTTAGTGGTCAAGACCTTAAAGCTGATCTGCCATAGTTTACAGGAGGGATTAGACCGCCCTGCAAGATCACTGGACAGGTGGTTATCTCATCAACTCAGCTCTCAGTTAACATAAGAAAAAGAGCATCATGGGGGACCAATGGTCACCGATTAGGCATTGTTTGTTATATAGAGGGCGCAAGTAGCTACAAGTAGTGCAGTGGGCCTTTAACTCTGCCCCTGCACTGGGTGTTTCGAGGGACTCTGTGTGATTTTATGTAACACCCCTAAAAAGTGCTCCCCCATTCAACAAGTCTGCCTACGCAATTGGTGGCAAATAACAACTCGGACATCACACACCCATCGGACAACAATTCGGACAACTTATACACTAACAATTAATAGTGTAAAACTTGCTTCTCGGATAGCCAACTGATAATTATAATGAATTATTACTCGGACAATCAACACTCATACGATGACTCCTAGGATAGTCACCAACCTGACAACTGCCGTTGTGACGATCATGATAATACTATGCCGTTATTGTATTCCGCATATCACATCATGATGTCACGTCGAAATGCGTTTCGAAAGGACTTTGCATATTGTTACTCTGGCTTCTGCTCACGCTCAGTGCATTCAAGTACTGAATCCTGCAAGGTATGCCTATCCAGATACCACACATAGATTGAGTGTGGCAAATGTAGATTTATGTCTTGCCGAAGGACATTAGCGGTCCGACAGGGATTCGAGCCCAGTAACTTGTGGTTCACAGTCCGGAGACTTATCCGGACATACCACCTGACATGTACACCCAGGACAATCAACGATCGGATGACTAACACTCTGCCGTTAACTTCCAAGAAACACCAATTAAACTAAGAACGCTCTGGGTCATTCAGTTGGAAGACTATCATTCTAATAATTACGCCCGCAACAATTGCCACACGGACAATATATTTCTTGAGAATGACCTCTCGGACAATGACCTCTCGGACAATTACCTCTCAGACACCTAGCACTGACCGAGACGATCAACCCTGACTAATCACCAAAACATACACCCAGACAACTACTAAACTGACGAATACGACTGGGAACAGTTAACACCCAAAACAACTATTGAATGTGAATTGGATTTGAATGTGAATTTATTGAATTTATCTATTTATAACATAATTTTTGTTCTTCCATTGGTTAAAGAATAACAAAATATACTTAGTAATCAGGTGTAAAATCTTAAAATGTGAATCATAACTAACAAGATTAATACAATCCAACTGAATAATTTTCCATCCGAAGGAAAAGAAAGAAGAAAAAACTAAGGTAGAAGTCTTAAAGAAAAAAAGGAAAAGTATATGGGTAACAAAATAGAAGTAAAAAGGTAAGGAAAAGAACAAAAAAGACGGATGAAGAGAAGGGAGAGATTGTATTTAAAGGGCGCTATAAAAAGGACGAAAAATAAGTTTGATCCTGTAATTAGACAGACCTAGGCGGTAGTTTTATTGTGAGTAAAAAAGTAAACATGAATCTATCACCCGGGCTATGATCCCTAGGATAATTATCGCTCGGACAACTAACATGACTAAACGTTCATTGATTTTACCCACATAAAATAAATACTCGGACAACTGCAGCCTGACGATAACTCAAGGAGAATTAAAACAGTCAAATAACATCGAAATGATAAAATGCAGAAGAATGACCGTCCGGACAATTAGGTACCTGACAATATTCAGTATAGGACAACTTTTACTCGGACACTCATCAACACCATGCTGATTAAAACCAGGGCAGTTACCACTCGGACAACTTCCACAGTGATGATGAGCCGTAAGACACTTACCACTCGGACGACTAACACCCTGGCCATTAAACCTAGGATAATTACCATCGGACAACTACCACAGTGAAAATTATCCTTTACGCTGATACAATTACAGTTCGGACAATTACCACGCAGACGATAAACGCTAGGACATAAACCAATGGGACGATTAACAGACAACCAATAATCTGACCATTTTTCCTGGGACAATTGCCACTCTGACGAAGGTTGACCCGGCGCACTTAATTGGGCGTACGCTTTGGTTGTGGAGACCTCTTCAGCACCGGTGGAAAAAGTGCTTAGGAGAAAACGGGAAATTCATGATGTTTTAGAATATACCATGACTAGCAAACGTGGAAGTTGTCTGGAATCACATAACAGGGAAATGGCTTTTTCAGCATTATGAAGTTTGCATACATTTAAATGCTACTATCTCCCCCAAATCCATCATTTTCTTCGTATTTGCTTAACTTTTCTCAGCCTTTCCACAACCTGTCTCCCCAAATGTTTGGTTTTTGTGTACTCGATCAACATTTATTTTAGGAGAGAGCTGGAATCTTCATCATATTTCAGTGAATAACGAATGGGAGTGTTGTCCACAAATAACAGATAAATATCACAATCGTATGACCAATACGCCAATTTGAGATTCACATGCTTTTGGTATATCTCAATTTTTAAGCAATGCTTTCAAAATATTTGTTCGGCTTTGTTCAGCCTTTCAAAGATCTGGCCTATTTTTTCTCTCTCTTTCTCTCCTTCTTTGATCTGTTTTCACCCATCAACAATTTTCTTTACAAAATGGTTGGATTTTCCATTAATAATCGTCTATCGCTGGAAAAGAGCACCGTTGTGGCTATACATCAAAAAAATGAAAAATGAAACTATTTATTTAGAAAATGCTCCTCTAAAACCTGTACAACTTCAGATAGATATACACACAAGTGACGCAACCACTGACCTTTAAATTTACTCTTTACACTCTCTCAAAATTCTAATGGTCTGAAAAATGTATGTGAGTTTCAGAGCGGAACTTTTTGTTGTGTCATATGAGCCCAAACGCCCCCACACTTTTCACAAGTCTTTAGGACATACGTACAAATAAATGAAAAGTATGGGGCGTTTGGGGCCTATAATGACATAACAAAAAGTTCCACTTTGAAACTCATATAAATTTGTTCAGACTTTACATCTATTTGTACTGATGTCCTTAAGACTTGTGAAAAGTTCATCAAAAAAGGAGACGATATTGTTCATATACGCTGCCCAGTGACCTTAAAAAGGCGCGAAGAAAAATCTTAATAAATCGAGACGCCCTGCATGGTGTTAAACTGTTTGGTCAGATGACCGTACGGATGAAGATATATCCGCTAAACTGGATCAAACTTTTTGCAGTGGGAATATTGTAGGAAATCAAAATAAACACGAATTGATCCCGGGAGCTAATATTAAAGGGAAAGAAAACCGCGATGTGTTATAATGTTGTTGTTGAGAAGTGTGTTTTTAATTTTTTTTATTTGGTTTGGAAGATTTTTTGTTCTGCTTTTCCATGCTCATGCAAAGTGACACGAATTTATAATGAGAGTGTATTAGATTAGCTCCAGTTGTTGTTGGAGGTTATATTTCATTTCATTAAAAAACTTAAATCATTTGCTCATTAACAGTTTTTAATTTCTTGTCCATTTGTTATAACAACGTGTACACACGGCGATGGATATTGAAAGGAAGGGTATGTTTTAATTTCGGAACGTGTAGATTACAAATACCGCAAATCTGATTTATTTTCATCCAGTTCCTAACAATTTTCATTGCACCATATCTAGAACTGCACTTTCTTTTTAATGTTATAATCAATAGTTATTGGCTCCAAATGAGCAACGTGCTTGCTTCCATAATTGCTTAATTAGTAAAATATGATAGGTGTTCGGACGTGAAAGTATGCTGATAAAGGGCAGACACAAAAACGGTATCAAATATCCGAGATGTGTTTGGGGGTATGAGAAAGTGTGGTGCAAAAAAGGCGTCATATTGGCAAGGCGGCGAGCGTACGGTTGGCTGAGAAAGCTAGCAGGTGTGTGGGTTCCTCGCCCTGACGCTGATAACGTAATTGGACTCCATCCCATTCAAGAGACGGTACTCCAACT